GGCGCCGACGGGCACTAAGCCATCCTTTCGCTTCCGCGTGACGCTGCGCAGGCTGAGTGTCGTTTCGTCGTCGCTGTGTCTGTGTCGCACTCATGGGGTCTCTCGTAGCGGGGACCGAGAGAGAAAGGGATGGAGCGATGAAGCGGGGCGGCACAGTGGGCCAGAAGACCGGTGGAGGCGGCCAAAACTCTAGACGCGTTTTGAGCTCCCAGCGTCGCTAAATGGGACTCGAACCGAACGTATGACCCCACCAATGGATTGCTCTCCGAACAAGGAATCCATTGGTGAGGTACACATTCGGTTCGAGCCCTGTTCAGCGACTCTGGAGCTCAAAACGCGTCTAGAGTTTTGGCCGCCTCCGCCGGTCTTCTGGCCCACTGTGGGCGGGGGCTGCTTGCCGGACTTGTGCGTGAGCGTGGAGCGGCGTGGAGGGAAGGCCCGGGCTCCCTTTGGCCGTTTGGCCGCCGCGTGCTGACTTGGCACTTCGCACGCACGCGGCGGGTTCAAGTTGAAATTGGGCGACTCGCGAGTCGCTCCTTGAGCGCGGCGGCGCGGCGGCGCGGCGCGCTGGCCGTGACCTTGCGGCGCAGATTTCGCGGCGAAAGTCCACCGGCCCCCTTCCCCCTTCCCCATGAAACAGGCGGGGCGGGCTGGGTTACGGCGCTACAACTGGCCGGCAGCGTGCGCGTGGCGCGCTACGTCAGTGGCAAAAAGAACCGCCCCTGCAGAAAAAATGTTGAGAAAAAATAAAATCGAGCTCTGTTTTAGAGTGGGCGAGAACAACGGGCACGGCCGTGACCACGCACGCTGGTAGTTTTCTGGTTTGTTATTGTCATTCTTTCCTCTCGCTCTCTTCTTCTTTCAGTTCCACTTTTTCAGTGATTGTAAAGCTGCGTCTAAGAGCTCTGCTCAAGTTTTTCGGAAAGCGCGTTGCGAATGGCGCAGCAGCGCAGCAGTCAATAGACGCTGCCTTTATCGCCTCGGCGGCACGACGCGGCACGGCGGCACGACGCGCCCGCGGCCCGCAGGACACCGAGTCCTACGGCGGTCTGCTGTTTGCGCACGACAAATGCGAGCGATGCAAACCGCAGCTAATTTCGTCATTTCTTCCTGAGATAAGGCGAGGCCTTGGCCTTCCCACATGTAGCCATCATCTCACGCCGCGGGCGCTTGGCGGCGAAATGCTGCTGAGGTGTGAGAGAACAGGCAAGCCGCGGCAAGCGCATCCAAATGCCATCAACCTGACCCCAAAACTCTTATCTTGAGGGTTGATTCATTCAGACGCCAAAGTGCCGGCGACGTTTTGACATTGCGTTTGACCTGATTCTGACTTGCTTGTTCTCTGGGCGTTTCGACACTTGCCGCCTATCTACCTGGCGATGAGACACCGTTGTTTGCAAACGGACACAGTCGGCCGATGAGCCGCGACAGTGTAAGGGGTTTCTGATTAAGCTGAAACCTAAAAGAAGGGCGCTCTCCGCTATCGCGCGCATCGGCTGCCCCTCGGGCTGCCCAGGCCGCGGCGCGCTCACAGCTGCGCAAACAAATTTAAATACATATGAATGTGGCGGCGTGTGTCACGCTTCGACGCCAACGCCACATTTAGTCGGCAGCTGGCTGCTCTCGTGACGCCAAAGGAGTGCGACTTTGTGAATTCCTTGAACCTTCGTCGCTTTGTTTTCCAGGGGCCGGAAGAAATGTCCATAAAAACAGAAGTTGTTTTGTTGAGGAAAAACGTCGCGGGCTCGTCAGATACAGCGATTTGGCGCAGTCACTTTGCGACGAGGCCTGTCCACAAGCTCGCCTCTGCGGCTGGGAGTCACGGCCCGTTTCGCTGCGCCATTCCGACACTTGTTGCTGGCATTAATTCTTTTTTTTTTTTCTAGTCGAACACGACGCCAGACGGACAGGCAGACATTACATTGCCCCGCCATGAGAACTATTCTAGTTCCGCGTGCATCCGTCAGTGGAGCAGCTGTCGCGGCGTGCAGGGCGTGCAGGGCGCGCAGGGCGTGCAGGGGGACACAGTGTGCCCAACACACACATGCCGCAGGGCGGGGCGGCGGGGCGCGGAGGGCTGCGTGGAGGAGGCCGGGCCGAGAGCCGGGCCCTGCCTGCCGACTGCCTGCCCGCCAGCGGCGGTGGGAACAGGCCGGCACGGCAGTCATACGGCGACAACCTGCCTCTCATTTCCGCAACGCGAGAACGCGAGTCGAGCCTTCGAGCCTTCGTCCCGGCCGTTCCTCGGACGTCGCGCAGCGCGCAGCTTCTCGCGCAGCATGCCTTGCGCTCGTGAAATACCGTCGCGTCGCCGGCGGCCGAGTCGAACGCGTCGAACGACAAGCGTCAGCAGCAGCAACAAGTACCAGACTCCCTGCTGCCGCTGGCTGCCGCACACGGACACACTCACACACAGACAGCGCCTTCCCCTCTTTCCGCACACGTACACACCCACACACAGAGCCGTATCAAGCGGCCGATGATGGCGCATCGCGTTTTTGCTCGTTCGGCAAACGGAAATTGGTGGATCATCGCAATACCGTTGACAGTGGACACCCAGATAGGGCACCCCGCCAGCCTCCCCACGCCCTCCGCGACGCCCCGTATCTGCAGCACGCGCTGGCCTGGCCCAGGCCTGGCCGCCCCTTTCGAGGTTTGTTGTGACGCCCCGTATCTGCAGCACGCGCTGGCCTGGCCCAGGCCTGGCCGCCCCTTTCGAGGTTTGTTGTGACGCCCCGTATCTGCAGCACGCGCTGGCCTGGCCCAGGCCTGGCCGCCCCTTTCGAGGTTTGTGTGACGCCCCGTATCTGCAGCACGCGCTGGCCTGGCCCAGGCCTGGCCGCCCCTTTCGACGGTTTGCCCTCTGCGTGGCCCCCGCCCGTATCTGCAGCACGCGCTGGCCTGGCCCAGGCCTGGCCGCCCCTTTCGATGTTTGTTGTGACGCCCCGTCGCCCTGTCACCCCGTGGGCCACAAAGGTGAGATTATGGTACGACGTGCTTGGCACCCGCCACCGATGTGTGAGTGCCTGCGTCTTGGTAAAAGGCAAGAGGACCGCGAGGCCGAGAACGGAGGCGGGCCCCAAGTCCCAAAGCATCATGCTGCCAGACACGCCTGGAGAGAGGGATTAAGCTCACCCTTTTTGCCTACTTACAGAGAACTGCAGCTTACCCCCCCTATCCGGCGTCTTTGTGGACTGTGGGGGCTTGCCTGCCCGCGCCCTGCCTGGCTGTCAGAGTGTGCGTGCGGCGTGCGTGAGTGTGCGGCACTCGGCTCTGCGCGTTGTCCTTCGCAAGTCGACAAATCGCTTCGCTCAATCTTTCAAGAAAGAGTATGATATCCGCGGCATGTCTCCATTGACTACAACATCGCCTCCTTGCCGAGACTTGGTGGCATTTGAGAAGGCAGGCTGCCAGGCTGCCATTGCCCGTTCGTCTCTTCCGTCGCCTACATTTGACAGCGCGCCGTCGGCATGCCGAGCCCCACCGCCCGCCGCGACACGCCGCTCCATTGTAAATCGCTATCGCATTCCTTGTGGGCACCGCGCGCCGCAGTAAAGTCCCCCTCCCCCTTTTCGGTACATTCTCCCTTCCTTTTGGACGTAATTCGTGCGCGGGGGAAAACTTGGGGCAGAGTGCGTTACAAAATGAGTTTGTGTTTGTGGCGGGGAAGGTGCGAGAGTGTTGTCTGCGGTTTATCGGCGGTTATCTTAACACACAGTCCCGTGCTGCTGTTTATGGCAGGTGTTTTCTTGTCATTCATGGAGGAGAGGAAAGAGCCACGCGATCGGCTCTCCGCGTTATCGGCGAGGTGTCTCGGCCGCGTCTCGGCCGCCTCGCTCGCCGCCCCATTCGCCCCGTCAGTGCGACTGCACGCCACTGCGCTCGCTGCCAAAACCCAAAATCTGGCGGCGTGCGCGGTGCGGCGCGGTGCCGCCTCTTGCTGCCTTGAAGGCGAAGGCGTCGCCCAGAGTCTTGAACGGCGTCCAACAGTACAGCCGGCGGCCGGGCCCGACACAGGGGCGTATTACCAAATATACAGCACGGCTCGAGATTACACCTGAGGGAAGGGGGAGGGGGGGCGGTTGACGCGGACGTCACTGAGTCGCGGGGCGCAGAGACACTGCCTGCCAGCAGAGTGATTCCGAGCTCTGCTTTCGTCGCTCTGTCCCTCTCGCACTCGTGGGGCGTCCCGCAAGGGTGCGAGAGAGACAGAGTGACAAACAGCCTGCAGGCAGGTGCTGTCCGCGCCCCGTGCGGGGTCCGCGGGGCGGGCTGGCCGTCGGTAAACAGCGAGGCGCAGGAAGAGACGAAGAAAAAGCGCGTGGCGTCGCGGATCGTAAACAAAACAGAGCACTTAATTGCGAGTCGCGTGCACGCGTGCCTGTTCGCTGTTTACCGGCGATGCGCGACTTGCACGCCCCCTGCTCGTCGGAGCGCCGCCGTCTGGAGACTTGGGTAGGCTGGAGGCGCTGCAGGCCGACGAGACTCGCGGGGCGCAGCGGGGCGGACAGGGATGGTCCAGTCGCCAATTCAGTGAGGCGGCAGAACGGCGGGGCTATTTGGGGGTGGCCGGGGGGCCAGGCCCAAGGGCCAGCCTAGGCCGGGCGGTGGCGGTGGCGCGGGGCGTGGCGGCGCGGGGTGCAGCCCTCCGCAGCTTCGCTTCGCAGTGCCGTGGCCGTGCTGTGGCGTTGCGCGTTAGCCTTGAATCCCGTTCGATTCCCGCGCCGCCACACGGCCACCCCCAGAGTCAAGTGAGTCCTGCCGGGGGTCCTGCGTGGGCCTGCACGCGGCGAGGGTCTACACGGCGTCCTCCGCGAGCCTTCCTCGTGGCGACGGCGTCCACCTGGGCCTCGTCCCCGTCGTCCACAGCACCAGGCCGTCAACGGGGGCGGCTGTCATGTCCGTCGTTCCCTGCCGTTGCGGCTCCCTTCCTCTCCCTCTCCGCTTATCTGACTCGCGTAGTAGGCTGTTCCCCCCCACTCCGCCGCGCCGTGCCTGGCCGTGCAGAGCCGCAGTGTTGTTGTGAAGATAGCGTGCTGTGGCCTGATCGTGGCGGAGTTGTGTTGAGGCGACGGCGACCACTGTGCTTGTGCGACTGCGTTGTGAGGACTCACATGGAGTGAAGTGCCGAGTGTCTTGTTGGATCCTACCTGTCTCCTCGCCCCGTGCGGCAGCGTGTGTGTGTCTCTGGACTGTCCGAGTGCCCGTCGTTTCAACGAGAAAAGCAAAATGTCTGCTTCACCGATCGCTCGCCAGGCGACGCAGAGCATCCCCGTCAGAAGGGTGATGCTGAGCGACCCGTCGCAGCTCCCCAACGATTATTCGACAACTCCTGGTGGCACCCTCTACTCCACTACTCCCGGAGGTAAGCACAACTTCGCTTTCTGTCGGGGTGGTCTTTTCCCGAGGTGACATTGCCGCTGGACTCGGTGCGTCCGATTTATTTTGGTGTGGGTGGAGCCATGGTGGCGCAGGGTAGCGTAAACACAATGGCTACCGCCGCAGTCGCGGACCGCGGCGTCGCGGCCTAGCTCAGCCCGTTCTGGACGACACGGATCGCCGGGAGGAGGTTTAGCTGGTTTGCTTTGCCTTAGATCAGTCTCCTTCCTTGTGGAGCCAGACTCGGCCCGAGTTGGTACTTGAGTCACGTCGGTGTTGCTTAGGTTTATGCGTGGCCACGCCGCGTGTTGGCTTGGGTGGGGGCTCGGGGCTCGCGAGGAGGAGGGGGTGAGGGGGTCCTTCCCAACTCACCACGCCTCACGAGTGCGAATCAGCTGTTTACGTAGTCATATTTGTCCCCCCCAGAGGCTGACAACCACATGACAATCTTCGAGGTCTTGCCTTATTTACTTTGTCGACATATGGCGTCTCTATTGATTCTCCCCGTGGTGGGAATGTCACCCCAGAGAGCTGAGCTCTAGGACGCCATAACCTATCTTTCTAATCATGCCATTGCCAAAGGTCAGAACCAAACTTTAAATTTTCTGCCCTATTAAAAAAAAATAACAGTCAGCTATTTATTTAAATGGCAGTCCAATTTACTTACCTCTTCTCCTATTTCTCTAAGCAGCCTTTACAAATTTAACTGATACGCTAATTCAATTTCAATGTTGCAGGTACCAGAGTAGTTTACGAGAGGAACTTCCTGTTGCATCTGCGAAACTCCCCCTTGTCTCGCACACCTCCAACCAACCTTCCCAACATTCCCGAGTCTGTACTGAAGGGATCAGTAGATCGTCCAATCATCTCACCATCAAAGGAGAAGGTCATAATTGCACCCAGCCCAGTGAAAAAGGGTATGTTCATTTTTCTTTTGTTCTTTTTTTCGTTTGTTCTCTTTTGTTAAATTTGATTTTGCAATTTGATGTTTTTTGTGAAGTTAGTTGTCTTTTTCTTTTTTCCAGATTCAAACCAAGATGATGAACAGTTCGAAATGGATATGTGAACTGCTCATATCTATTTGACTCGTCACCCTTATTTCCTCACGAACTCACAAACTGCTCTTTACACGGAGTGGCTATTGAATCCATTTGCCATTCCAGGGAAAGGAAGATAATACGTGTTGTGATGTGCCATGAGAAACTCTTCTGCCCTATCTTATGACCTGCAGTCAGCAGATGCTGAAGAAAACTCATCTTAGTTTTTATAACCTTGTGTCAAGGGAGAAGTTTCTTTTAAAGAATCTTTTAAAGAAACTGAGAATCTTCTCTGTTGCTTGTTTTTGAAGTGGCTGTGATGCAAGTCGTCTTCGAATATTACTGCATAGTCATGAATGGCTGAAAATAATAATGGAAAAAATTATAAAAAAAAAGACTGCTCTGCTTTCATGTTTTAACTGCCTTATTACAATTGTTCTGGTACTAGATTCTAGTTGATAGCTGGTGTTTTGAGGGCCTTTCTATGCCTCATTGTGTATTTGGCAAGTATGTGTACTTCCATTCTCCAGCTTCTCTCGAAGTTATGATATTATCAAGTTTTATTGATTGGTTAATGTTAACTTTTGACTAGATTTATTGAAAATGATCTGTTAACAGATTAAGTGAAATCCGAAAAGTTTTAAGTTTTGTAAGTCAACACAAGATTGTGTTTTTATTGGGATTAAGAACAATGTGTTTTTTATGTTAATGAGTTACTGGTGGCTCTATTTTCTTTCCATTCTTCCTCTGTTAGACCTTGTGTCTTTCAAGTCTATTTGTGTTAATTATTAGTCTTGAAAATGAATACAATGTTTTTTTTTGTTTTGTTTTTTTAAGTTGAAGAGTATTTCTGTTTTTAGCAGTTTGACAACTTTCTCCTTTTTTATTTATGTGTAATTTGGGCAATACTATTAATGTAAAATCTTTTCATAAGTCTTAGACACTTGAAATCTTTTGCTAAATCTGTAGCATGCAATAAAACTCATTCAATCTAAGTGTGGTTTTATTTTCAAGTTCTAATTCCGTTCAAGTAAAATTTTGAGGAATTGTCAGTTGAATCAAGTCCAATGTGAGTAGTAGAACACAGTGGTGTGCAGTTAGTTCTCTCCACTTCTACAATTGCTCCACTTTGATAAAACCTTCTCGAATAACAAACAATGTGGAAGTGGCTGAGCAGGTCATAGTGCTGCTTCCATTTTTCACAGCTCACACATCACATGGAATAGTGTACTCAAGCATTTGCACAGTTTTCGACAGGCGTCGAATTGGTGGCATTCCTCTCGGCGGCCAGGGCACCACAAACCATTAGGTACCATGAGGAAGCGGTCGGCTTATGCGCAAGCCATTTGACACTAACTGCCTGAGTAGCAGGCAAGAGCTTTGCCAGTTTTCAGTCAAACAAAATTTTTCACTCCAGACATCGCGCCTGTAGGGAGAAATAGGAATGTCACGCGACCTGCACGCTGAACTATGGCGCCATGAAGGTAGGCCACCCATTCGACACATCCCAGCGGGCTGATATTACCATTACGGGCTAGACCACACATGATCGTATGCCGTTTCGGGCCCGAACATCCTGGCTAAGAAAGTAAGCTCACGATTTTTCCCCTGTGAAAAAAGGCAAATGTTGACTAAGGTTGATCTCGGGGCGGGTATATCACGTCAACCACCCGAACCACCGAAGCGCATGGAGGCGGCATGGAGGTGATGCAGCAATGCGAGGCAGCGGCCGCCTCCAATGAGGACCTGGATTTGCGTTGCAGGGAAGGAATTATTTTTCTCAGTTGACCGCTTAATTAAATGCGGTAGCAGTCAAAGTTTGGGTAGGCCGAGTGTCAGCTGTCAGGGGCTAGCCACGCCTCCAACGTAGGCCACCCATTTGACACGCTGGGGTGTGTGGGTGCGTGGGGGCCGACTGCAGGAACTCTTCTGCGCACCTAGAGGTAGGGACAGACGACCCCAGGTCCTTCTATTGGTGAGCGACGCTCTTGCCGACTGGTCGGTTCCGACCATAGACAACGTAGGACCCTATGTTGTCTATGGTTCCGACCGACCGTCTGACCAACCGTCTGCGACCGGCCGGGCCGCCTAGCGACCCCATTGAGGGACCACCTTGATACGACGGCATTGACGCCTGGAGTTAGTAGGGCCTGAATATTTAAATTTGCTGTCATGAACGTTCACGTTTAGCGAATTCTGTTGTGCTGATAATACAGGGAAATTCCAATAAATGTTACTGAAATGTTATTTCATGTTATCTTATTTCTACTGTTCTTTTCTGTTTTTATTTTTGTCAAAATAACAGTAAAGCGGTCCCTTACAAATATTTCAAGAATTTTCTTTCTGAAATGTCCATGAAATATTTACAAGTCTAAAATTTGAACATACAAGTAAAATTATGAGGTTGCATTTTATCAGGACTTTGGTGAGATGAGTTGGGTGTTTGTTTAGGGAATAAAAACATAAAAATGAAATAGTGGACCAATCTCCTCACCATGCCTCAGTAAATTTTGACAATTATAACTTCGTGACTCTGGGAGCACCAAGTATCAAGTAGTCAAACTCCACACACATTCAATATTTGATCAAAGTAATATCACAAGAAGACAATATTTTAAAAAAGCAAGTCGTAACTTTGCAAAGTCGTACAGTTGCGACGTATTTTCTATCACAGAAGGCAGAATACCTCTACAACACGCACTGCTCTCACACAGTGATAAGCTTATTTTCAGTCACTCACATAAAATTGTGAGAATTGCACTTAAAATGTGATCACATCATAGGCAAAGTCGTACTCTAAATAAAACTACTCCACTGGCCACTTCCCTAGGAATCTCATCGGTTGTGCTTATCGCGGTCAAATTGGGACCGTTTCCCTCACTTCGTCGGTGGTGTAAGTATCATGGCTTGTTCGAGGAGTGCGCTGCAGACAGGTGCTGCAACTTCCAGCTCGTCCCGAGTGAGCGCTTTCGAGGGCAGCGCTAGGACAGACTGCTCCCGCCGGGTAGGCAACACCTTCGACGCGTGCACCTCGCGTTACGCGCGCCGACGACGCAAAACGAAAAACCAAACACGTTCCCGCGCTCTTGACCCGATACCGAGCAACGCGTGTCAAACTTGACACCCCGCTATATCTCCCCACATGGCCCACCGAGTGGTCCACTGATTGCACGAATGCGAGATCACAGAAGTTATCGCCCGGCGCTCACAGCGCCAGGCAGGCACAGGCAGCGCCGATCATCGAGGACGCGACGCCGGCCGCGTCTGCCCCCAACTGGCCAACTGGCCCCGGACAGGCCAGGACAGCCCACACCATCAGCTCCAGGGCACCTTCTCCAGGGTCCACTGCTGGCCGACCGCGGCGCTGCAGTCCGTGAGCACCAGGATGGAGTCCTCCTCGTCGCTGTTCTCCGGGGAGTCCAGGCAGAGGCCGCTCGGGACGTGCCGCAGGGTTTGTTCCTGGCGACAAGAAGCAGGCCGTGATAACAGTGTCCCACCGCACTCGACGAGGTCCAGCCGGGCCAGTGGGCCAGAAGATCGGTGGATGCGGCCAAAATTCTAGACGCGCCTTGAGCTCCAGAGTCGCTGAATGGGACTCGAACCGAGCGTGTGACCCCACCAATGGATTCCTCGTTCGGAGAGCAATCCATTGTGGTGGTCACACGTTCGGTTTGAGTCCCATCTAGCGACTCCGGAGCTCAAAACGCGTCCGGGATATTGATCGCCTCCACCGGTCTTCTGACCCACTGTTAGCCGCCCAGCGTGCCCAGCGTCCGATGCTCACCTCCCGGTCGTACTTCCACTGCTGCCGCGGCCGGCCACTGCACGCCATGATCCTGGCCCTGGGCGTGACGCGCGTCGGCTTCTCGCCCTGGCGCTGGCCCTGGCGCTGCGTCTGGGACTCGGGCGCGTCCAGGCAGACGGACTCGTCCGTGGCCACCACGCCCTGCGGCGTCATGACGAACATGCGAATGAGGTCCAGGTCGTCGTCGCCGCCGCAGCTGGACGTCATCGCCGTGCCCATGGGCTGGTTCAGGCTGCCCTTGCCCGTGGGCTTCACCAGGCACTCGCCCGTGCGCACGTTGCGGATCTGCGGAAGGAGAAAAAAAGGCGGCGTGAGCGGGACTTGAACCCGGGGCCGGAGAAAAACGGCGGCATCCGTTCGTCTAGCCGCGGTTAGTGCATCCGGCGCAAGGGGCACAGTGCACCCACCTTGCCGAAGAAGCGGTCGTCCTTGGGCATGAAGTGCTGCGGCCAGACGTTGTCCAGGTACCACTCGAAGCCCTTGCACCGCAGCCTTTCCCGCAGTTGCACGCGCTTGGTCACGTTGAGCTTGGGGCGAAAGGCGGCCGCGTCCGGGTTGAAGCGGAAGTAGAAGTCGGCCCAGCGGTCCATCCACACCTCGGCCACGCGCGCCAGGTTGGTGTACAGCACGTCACCCACGCCGCCGGGGAAGGTGTACGGCGACGACTTGCGGAACAGGTGGCCGACGTGCGAGCAGGGCGCGATCTCCACCGAGCCGCCGCACTGCCAGACGCGGAAGGACAGCTCCAGGTTCTCGCCGCCCCAGATCTCCATCTGCTCGTCGTAGGCGCCCAGCTCGAAGAAGTACTCCCGGTCCATGGCGAACAGGCCACCGGCCATGGCAGGCGTGCGGAACGGCTCGGTGACGTCACCGCGGCGCCGCCGCAGCTCCGTGCCGCCCATGGTGTACCAGCGGAAGTGCAGCTCCCAGTTGAAGGCGCCCCAGTGCAGCTCGAAGGAGCGCACGTAGGCCAGCGTGTCATCGCTGATGATGTCGATGACGGGGCACACGACGCGCGTGCGGTCGCCGCCGACGCGCGTCAGCAGCGGCTCCAGCCAGCCCTGCGTGCACTCGCAGTGCGCGTCCAGGAACGTAAGCACGCGGCCCCGCGCCTGCCGCGCCCCGAGCAGCCGCGCGCGCACCAGCCCGATGCGCTGCGGGGACCGGAGCACGCGCACGGCCACGGGCAGCGTCGCCACGTACTCGTCCAGGTCGTGCTGCAGGAACGCTGCGGACAGAGGACGCCGTCAGAGCCTTTGTTTCACGACCTGGGCGCTGCACAGTGGGCCAGAAGCCCGGTGAAGGCGGTCGAAACCCCGGACACGTTTTGAGCTCCAGAGTCGCTAAATGGGACTCGAACCGAACGCGTGACCCCACCAATGGACTGCTCTCCGAACGAGAAATCCATTGGTGGGGTCACACGTTCGGTTCGAGTCCCGTTTAGCGACTCTGGAGCTCTAAACGCGTCTACAGTTTTGGCCGCCCCCGCCGGTCTTCTGGCCCACTGTGCGCTGCCAGGCCTCGCCTAGGGCCTCGCCCGACACCGCCGCACTGCCCCGCACTTACTCCTGGAACTGGCGTCGTCCACCAGCAGGATCTCGGTGAGCAGCTGGCGGGGGCTGCGGTTGATGACGGACCACACGGTGCGCAGCAGCGTGGACCACGCCTCGTTGTGGAACACGATGATGACGGAGGTGTCCGGCAGCCCGGCCAGCGGGTACTCCTTGGCCTGGCACCTGCAGCAAGTCGGCACAGTCAATCCCACATTCCCCGATAGTGATCTGCACACCAGACCTGCCCGAATGTGACCCAGAATAAGGCAGGCTTCGTCGAGAATAATTTCGCCAAGATTCGCATCTGTAGCCTCCGAGGGTCACTGCATGGTTCCACAGGCTTGTCATTTCAAACCGTTCCCATCATCGCTCTCCCCGAATGATTCCCATGACTCTAGGATAGAGACAAAAGAGCAGGTTTGGCAAGAAAAATGGGGCTGTGACCCCGAGCCCGAGCCGGCCAGTGGGGCGGTCCAACGGGGCCGCCTTTTAGGGCACTGTGAGGCAGGGCACTGTAAGGCAGGGCCAGGGCAGGGCCAGCAAAGCGCGCACACCGTCACTCCGGCTCCAGTTCCGCGGCACGCCGCTCCAGCGCTCCAGCCGCTCCAGCCGCTCCAGCCGGTAGTAAAGCCAGAGAGCAGTGCAGCAGTGCTGGATACCGTTGCAAATTATCCCCGACAATAACGCAGGCATTGGACCGGCCGGGCAACGCACTCCCCCCCCCCTCTCACCTCACCTCCTCGTTTCCACTGCTCTGAAACGCCTGTCACTTTTGAAAAATAATGCCCAGCCGCGTCTCTCACACATGCCCCCCCCCCTCCCTTCCTTCCGGAACGACCTAGCCGCTACAAAAAGTTCACACAACTTGAAGTGACGACGCCAAAATGGCTCGGCTTGCGAATCGGCCGCGTTCACTGGGACACGAGGGACACCCTGCCGCCGCGGCAGGTCGATTCCGAATACTACTGCTTTCGTCGCTCTATCTCTCTCACATTCAGGGAGCGTCGCGCAGGGGTGTGAGAGAGACAGAGCGACGAAGCACTGAGCAATGAGGCTACTGGCGTCGAACCGTTCGCTTCCCTTTCCAGTCGGCCCCGGGTCTCTCCAGCCGAGTCGGGTCGAGGGGATTCCACGGACCCGCGCCACAGCCCAGCACACAGTGGGCCAGAAGACCGGTGGAGGTGGCCAAAATTCTACACGCGTTTGGAGCTCCAGAGTCGCTAAATGGGACTCGAACCGAACGTGTGACCCCACCAATGGATTGCTCTCCGAACAAGGAATCCATTTGGTGGGGTCACACCACACGTTCGGTTCGAGTCCTGCTGAGCGACTCAGGAGCTCAAAACGCGCGTCAAGAGTTTGGTCCGCCTCTTCTGGCCCACTGTGCACAGGCCAGCACCCACTGCCGCCGGAAAGTATAGCTGTCGGCACTTTAGCGGGCCGCCGGCCGTGACACGCGGCGTGACGCGTGGCGTGACTGTCACGCGCGACACGCCGTGACGCCGCGTCGTGACACAGTGACGCGTCACTCCGCGTGCGAGCAGTGGGCGCGGCGTCGAGCGCAGAGCCCACTCTACAAACTGAGGTGTGTACTCAGTATGCGTCTACAGATGCACACTTGCAAGCAAGTACATATCTACAGATGCATACTTGCAAGCAAGTACACATCTACAGATGCATACTTGGCTAAGTACACATCTACAGATGCATACTCAACTGAGTACACATCGACAGATGCATACGGCTGAGTACACACCTACAGATGCATACCTAACTCATCCAAGTATGCATCTGTAGATGTGTACTCAGCCAAGTATGCATCTGTAGGTGTGTACTTGCAAGTATGGGTGTGTAGATGCATACTGAGTACACACTTCAGTTTGCAGAGTGCAGTAGCGCCCCTTAACGCAGCCTCATCGAGTGGGCATTGGTGGGCATAGGAGACGCCAACACACGGTGTGGCGCTGTGACCAGTGTGGGCGCCGGGCGGGTGTCCGTGTGCGTCTGTGCGCGTGTGTTCGTTATCGCGGCATTGGTTACACCGGGGCAACGGCATCGAAGCCCATTACGCCACCGCGCTGTAATTAGCCGCATCCGCGGGGTTTTGTTTACGGCCTCCGGGCCGCCGGGACTGCGTGGCGCTTCCCGCGGGAACTTTTGATTTCCTGCGCCAGTAGTGACCGCCTGCACGCTGCACGTGCCACGGACTGCCCTGAAGGTTGATTCGCCGAGCACTGCTTTCGTCGCCGTCTCTTTCGCACCTTTACCAGACGCCCCTTGAGAGCGAGCGAGATAGCGATGGGAGCAGTGCCCGGGATCGGTACTCAGGACGGCCGCACAGTGGGCCAGAAGACCGGCGGAGGCGGCCAAAACTAGACGCGTTTTGAGCCCCAGAGTCGCCAAACAGGAATCGAACCGAGCGTGTGACCCCTCCAATGCATTCCTCGTTCGGAGAGCAATCCATTGGTGGGGTCACTTGTCCGGGATTTCGACCGGCCCCCAGACTGGACCCAGCACCGCGCGGACGTCGCGGACGTCACGTCACCACTCACTTCTTCTTGCGCACGTCGGGCAGGGAGCGGTTGAGCGGGATGCGGTCCGAGGCCATGAGGTTGAAGCGGTTGATGCGGAACAGGGCCTGCATGCGGGACTGCAGGTGGGCGGGGATCTGCACCGGGCTGCCATCCTTGCCGTCGTGCGGCACCGGCGAGAACTCGTTCTTGTTCACCAGCTCTGTGGGACAAGGAGAAAAACATTAGCGTCTTCTCGAAGCTTATTCGGCGAAGGAGAGAAAGAGGCGCGCAGCACTGCGCGGCACTGCGCGGCACGCACCATCTGTGAGGTTGAGCGAGGGGCTGGCGGCGGCCTCGCCCAGGTAGTGGCCCACCACCACGTGGATGCCCTTGCGGTCCACGTACTCGCGCTGGTCCTCGCCGAGTCTGCAACACAAATCCATTAGCGTTAAATACTTTCCGGAATCTGAACGCGACAGCGCGACAGCGGCAGTGCATGACACGCCCCGTCCTGCGCTGTCCTGCGCTGCCGGCCGAAGCGTGGGTACACCGGCGTGGACAGGCCGGCTGTCGCATGCTGTCGCATCACAGTTCCCGTTACTGTTTGTTCCATTGTCTACCGCCGCCCCTCGGCCCCTCGGCCGCGCGACGCCCCCCGCCCCGCGCCCGCGCCCCCGCGCCCCGCGCCCGCGCCCCGCGCCGCCCCGCGCCCCGCGCCCCCGCGCCCCGCGCCCCGCGCCCCGCGCCCCGCGCCCCGCGCCCCGCGCCCCGCGCCCCGCGCCCCGCGCCCCGCCGCCGCGCCCCCGCCCCGCGCCCCGCGCCCCGCGCCCCGCGCCCCCCCGCGCCCGCGCCCCGCGCCCCGCGCCCCGCGCCCCGCGCCCCGCGCCCCGCGCCCCGCGCCCCGCGCCCCGCGCCCCGCGCCCCGCGCCCCGCGCCCCGCGCCCGCGCCCCCGCGCCCCGCGCCCCGCGCCCCGCGCCCCGCGCCCCGCGCCCCGCGCCCCGCGCCCCGCGCCCCCGCCCGCGCCCCGCGCCCCGCGCCGCGCCCCGCGCCCCGCGCCCCGCGCCCGCGCCCCGCGCCCCGCGCCCGCGCCCCGCGCCCCGCGCCCGCGCCGCGCCCGCGCCCCGCGCCCCGCGCCCGCGCCGCGCCCGCGCGCCCGCGCCCGCGCCGCGCCCGCCCGCGCCCGCGCCCCGCGCCCGCGCCGCGCCCCGCGCCCGCGGCCCGGCCCGCCCCGCCCCCGCCCGCGGCGCGCCGCGCCGCCGCGCCCCGCGCCCGCGCCCCCGCGGGCGCGCGCGCCCGCGCGCGGCGGCGGCGCGCGGCGCCCCGCCCGGCGCGCGGGGCGCGCCCGGCGCGCGCGGGGCGGCGCGCGGGCGCGGCGGGCGGGGCGCGGCGGGGCGGCGCGCGCGCGGGCCGGGCCGCGGGGCGGGGCGGCGGCGGGCGCGGGCCCGTGGCGGCGCCCCGCGGGCGCGCTTGTACCCCGCGTCGGCGAGTCGAAGCGCCGGGGAGTTAGGCAACCCGACTGCACCCTCGTCTTACGGGACGGCGTCCTTCGCTTCGCAGGCGGTAACTTAGAAGCCATCGTGCTGCTCGCCTTCTTCCCTCCTCGACGCGTCGTTCTAGCAGAGTAGTACCTGCTTGAGGGCGGTGGTTCGAGTCCCACGCCCGTCAGGTTTTTGTCCTCGCGGTGGTTCAATTTACTTGTCCTAGTTGGTTGGACCGCTCGGGCAACAGCAGAGCGAGTCGTGCTTTCGTCGCTCCGTCTCGCTCGCACGTCAGTGAGTGCGAGAGAGACAGAGCGACGAACGCGCCGTTCGGCATCAGCCTGCAGGCTGTCCCCCCAGCACGTCAGTGAGTGCGAGAGAGACAGAGCGACGAACGCGCCGTTCGGAATCAGCCTGCAGGCTGTCCCCCCGAGGACGTCCTCGCGCACTGGCGCTGTTAGCCGTCATGAGTCGACTGTCGTGGCCGCGGCCGGCGGCTCCCCCGCCCCAGTGCGAGTCCTTGGGAGTCCTTCCAGTGCGTAGCACCCGCACCGCAAATTGCCCTGGACGGCACTCGGTCCCACGGCATTTCCAGCAAATGCAATGAGAAGGGAGCGAAGAAGGGATCGAGGTGCTAATTACCCCCGGTGTGCTACAAAAACCAGAGCGATTACGCCTTTACGCCTTCCCGACGATTAAAAGTGATCATCAACGCGCATTTCCACCCCGCCAGCCTGCGCCGGCCCGCCAGCAATCATGTGCACCGCTGTCTGCGGACATGTTAAACGCCGCCGGTGGCGGGCGTATGCAGGCGTATGCAGCTTGGAAAGGCTGGTGGTGAGGTTGGGTCAGATCCATCGCGATCGATAACGCGAAAGCGAGCAGCTGTCCAGAGAATCCTCGAGCAGCCTCGGCCGGCCTCGGCAGGGGTCAAGACGGGCGGGCTAGAACTAAATGCACGCACTCTGCTGTGGCTCGAGACGAGCCGCAGTGGTACAGTGGGCCAGAAGACCGGTCGGGGCGGTCAAAATCTCCAACGCGTTTTGAGCTCCAGAATCACGAAATGGGACTCGGACCGAACGTGTGGCCCCACCAATGGATTGCTCTCCGAACAAGGGATCCATTGGTGGGGTCACACATTCGGTTCGAGTCCTGTTTACCTACTCTGGAGCTCAAAGCGCGTCTAGAGTTTTGGCCACCTCCACCCGGTCTTCTGGCCCACTGTGAGTGGGAGGGAGACGACGTTTCTGGTCACGTTGCGCGCGCGCAGCATTCGGCCACTACGCAATAAAACGCAACTCATTAGCTGATATCGCGCCTTGGCCCAATCTGTCATCGCTAAAACGGCGCGAAAGATGAAAGATCAGAGTCTGCGGCGCGCGGGGCGGTTCGTCTTTATCGCTGCACACGACGCCATGCCGTGCCATGCCGTGCCATGTCGCGCCGTGCCGTGCCGTGCCGCGCCTGTCCGCGTGATGACCGTCCAACGAGGCGCCAACGATCCGTCTTCCTTCCTCGCGTCGCGTCGCGTCGCGCAGGTCTCACGGCGCATCGTGTTCCCGGGGCACTAACCGCTCGCCTTTTTACCACTTTTTGCTCGTCCGATGCGCGGGAACTCCTCCTCAAATCCGCGTCTGTTAGTGTCTGCGGCCAACACGCGCAGGGCAAAGCGGTGGTGATGTAATGAGCGCTGGGCCATGCCGGCGTGGCCGGCGTGCGTACCTGACGGCGATCCAGTCGTCCCTGCTGGCGCGGCCCCGCCGCAGGACGTCCTGGGAGAGCAGCGCGTCCTGGGAGCGCAGCCACAGCAGCAGCAGCGGCAGCCACAGCGCCGCCACCAGCACGGGCAGCAGCAGCAGGCACCGCCTCCAGTCGCGTCCTGCGCAAACGAGGCAACCATCAGCAAGCAAAGACAAAAAGAGCGGCACGGCTGAAAACAATGTCCCTCCCCGACGGTCAGCTCGGGCATTTGCTTCCCTTGGGGAAGAGAAAAAGGAAGCTGGAGCTGGCGGCGGAAGCCTCCCCGGTTGCACAGACAAAGGACAAGGGCACGCGTGTAGACACTAACACACATGCAGCAAATCCACGCACACAGGCGAGGGCGCGTATTTATGCACACAAACACACCTACACTACACTACACTCACACACACACACACACACACACACACACACACACACCACACACACACACACACACACACACACACACACACGAGTGCGCGCGCGGCCGTTGGTGCACACGGTCGTTCCGGTACGCATGCTGCCCTCCAGATGCGGAGGCAGGATAGGCGCAGCGCTACCGGTGCCCTTGCCATTGGTACGTGTGGCGCGGTGCGGCAGGGCACGGCGCGGCACGGCACGGCACGGCACGGCACGGCACGGCACGGCACGGCACGGCACGAGGCAGTAAAGAATTTTAGCAACGGCGAAAAGTCATCTCCGTCATGGCAGGCTGCGGCCTAGGCGGCCGAGATGAACTGCCTCCCTCGCTCTGCACCGCTCTGCACTCTGACCGCGGACCAGATGACATCTTCCTCGAAAGCAAGCAGGCCCCCCCACCCCCGCGCCACGGTCCGCGCGCACTTTCTTCCTAAAACTAAATTAACATGCCGCCAACTGCTTTTCCCGAGGAAAGCGTGGACTTTCGAGCGCATTTATCACTTTTTCGGCCAGGATCTCGGTGGCATGTCGTGCGCGGGGAGCTGAGGGTCGCCGTCGTGGCGTGCATCGCGCATCGCGCATTGCAACGAGAGGCCTGCCGGTTTAACATCCCAATTATTCTCGTTTTCAATGCCGAGCCGCGAGTTGCTGCTGCTCTGCCTGCACTGCGTGCCGCGTCGCAGGGGTTCCATGTTCCGTGCGCTTATAGGCTTCGTGTCCGTGTTAGCTGTGTGCCCCCAGCAGACTCTGATCCCGAGAGTCGTGCTCGTCGCTCTGTCTCTCTTTCACTCATGGGGCGTCCCGCATAGGTGCGAGAGAGACGGAGCGACGAAAACGACTCTCGGAATCAGTCTGCTGGGCACTAACACCGTGGCGTGTCAATTTCCAGCCCAGCCGATTCGATTCGGAGATCATCGTCGGCGATGGCATCCGCATGGCGCTGCATCCGTTTCCAGGAGCTGCAGCGTTCGACGCCGGTAACGCCAGAACGGCAGTACGGCCAGTATCCGCCGGCACGGCACCGTACCACCGTAAGCGCGGGGCTCTATCTGATGACGACCCGCTGCCATGTGCCACACGGCCCCGCCGCCCCGCTAACTCCGTAGCAGCCCCGACGCAGTTACCGTGCTTCGCGCGCGGCGCGCCGACTCGTTGCAATGTCGTGCTGCACCGCGTCGCCGCGACGTCGCCGTGCCTTGCGCTTGTCCAGTGCGGACGCGGCGCGAAGCGGTCCTGGCTGAACACCTCGGCCACACTGCCAGCGAACTCTGTCACCGTGGCGGTGTAAACGAACGGCGCGGCGACCGCAGGCCTGCAGCGCTGGCCGCGCTGGCCGCCGACGTCGCGGGCGGCGCCATGGCGGCGCGGTCTCGGACACACGACGACGCCCCGGTTATGGCTGGGCTGATGATGATCCAAGCGCGGAGAAGTGGCAAACGACCCGGCCGGCGTCTTGCGGCCTTTTCGGTTCAGCCTTTTTGTCGTCGTTGACGGCTTGGGTCGGGTTGGCGTGGCGCCGCACCGCGCCGCACCGCGCCGCGGCCGGACGAGACGAGACGCGCTCCGCTGGCCAGGCCGCCAAGCCCGCCAGGCCTAGAGGCCAGGCCCTGCCTGCCGGAGACATGGCGAGGAGGAGGTTCCAGGTTCCAGGTACGGTACAGTGGAGGGGGCGGGCAATTTATTTGGATTGTTCGGGCCGCCATGCCGCCACACCGCGAAAGACCGCGGGCCGAGGGCCGAGGGCCAGGCGGTTCCATCGCGTCCGGCTGAGCAGCACGACGCCTCTCTTGGGGTAAGAGGGGACCCCGCGGGACGCCGCGATCCCGCCAATTTGTTTCACGTGAAATGGCTCGAGGGTCCGGCCGAAGCGAAGCAGAGTCCCGCCAAAAACCAGGGGCGGGGCAACTGATTTAATAGTGTGCTGCGGTGTGCTGGGCTCGAAATAAGTCGTTGTCCCTTTCCTCATGTCGGGTGGCAGTCAACGTTCCCCTACCTTCACGCATGCTGATTCTTTTTTTGCACCGCCCCACCCACTCGTGCCAAAGCACACGACGGTACAGTTAGGCCCTGCTGCTGCCCGGCTTCGTGGTTCCTTCCTGGGACCCATTATGCCTCGGCACGAGACACCACTCACAGACACACAAACACACACACGCAGACACACACACATACACACACACACAGTCACACACACACACACACACAGACACCACGTGGTTCAGCGCGTGTCGCGCAGAATGCACGCCAAAAGCGGCACGGTTCCTGGAGACGCCCAATCCGCGCCGCCACGCCACGGGGCTGGGCTAGATAAGCTGATTCCGAGAGTCGTTTTCGTCATTCTGTCTCTCTCACACCCATACGGGGCGCCCCATGAGTGCGAGAGAGACAGAGTGACGCAAACGACTCTCGGAATCAGTCTGCAGAGCGGCTGAAGCCGGGGCTGAAGCCTGGACCGCTGGGCCTGCCATGGGTAACGACCCCAGCGGAAGTGGAGGGACCGGAGGGACGGCATGTTCGGCATGCGTGGCGCCATGCTCTGTCATGGGCACGGCAGTGGCGCGGCGGCCAAGCGGCAGCGTCACCTCATGGCACGGCCACTGCGCTGTGAGGCGTGGCGGGGCGTGGCGGGGCGGCGCGGGGCGGCCAGCGGCACCGCCGAGGTGCGAATGAATAGAAACTGTTTTGACTTAGTGAGCGCGCGGCCCGCAGTGCTGCCGTGCTGCCGCCTTGCCGACATGACAGCTCCATTCCATACACGCAGTGGCCGCAGTGGACCGGACTGACGCATCCCTATTCCTGGAGGCGAGGGCGTTACTCACCACGGCCGAGCCGGCATCCTGGCGGTCTGAGCATGGTTCCTGGGCGAGGACCTCATGGGCGCCTCATGACTGCCTCACGGACGCATGGCGGGCGGCGGCGTGGCGTGGCGTGGCGTGGCGTGGCGTGGCGCGGCGTGGCGCGGCGTGGCGGGGGCACTGCGATGGCTGTAGCCCTGCAGCCTAGTCCAGGAATGCCCCGCCGCGCTGCGCTGCCTCGGCTGCTGCCGTCCGCCGTGTGGAGCGGCCGTGCGTTCAACTCTCCGGCAGCCCCGGCAGGCCCGGCCCGGCCCGGCAGGACGACGGCGTCGATGCTGTCTTCGCCGAGAGACGCGACCAAAGCGCGCGGCTCCGCACGACCAGACCGGCACGAGGTGGCCGACGATGCCGGCAGAGAGGCAGAGCCGGGCAGAGCGCACCCAGACCCAGGCCAGACAGCCAGGCCTAGCGCCGTGCCCGCGTTGCCCAACGTTGTTTCGTCTTGCGTCACAGACGGCGCGGCGCGGCGCACGCCACCGAGAGTGGGCGTCACTGACACACTGCTCCAACTCAATCACTGCACTGTTGTCCTCCAGCACAACGCGCGTTGCAGCCGCACGCCGGCGTCGTCGTCGTCCTGGTGCTGCGTCTGGACGTGGAGTCCCCGGTGACGCCGCACCGCTCCAACCGCAACCGCGCCGCGCCAAGCACTGCTCTGCGCGCGCGCCGCGCCAGCAGCCTGAGCCTGGGGCCCAGCCGGCCAGCCGGCCAGCCCAGCACGGCAGGGTTATGTTGGCGTGCTCTGTGCCTCCACTCCACCGCGCCCAGCCCAGCCAGCCCGGCCGCCGCCAGTCCGCGCCGCGCGCCGCGCCGGTCGCCGCCCCTGCCTCGCCGTGGTGCCCCCTGCCTCTGCCCCCGCCTGCCCCCGCTCCCTGCGCTGCGCTCTGCCTCGTTGGCCTTGGAGCAGCAGTCAGCCGCCACAGCACCGGCGGCGTGGGGGGAGGTGCGGCGGTAAGGTGGGGGGGGGGCAGGGGGGGGGGCGCCTTACAGGTGAGCTGAGGCGGACCAGGTGATGACCGACTCGACGCAACCGCCGCCGCGTATGTCACTCCAGGCGCGCACCTGCAGCAGCAGCCGCCGCCGCGCGACCCGGCAGTCCCGGCCTCCTGGGCGAAGCAAGCATCCCCCCCTCTACTCCTCCAGGACACTGAACTGCGAGGCGCACCTGAGCTAGCCTGAGCGGCTAGTGCAGCGACGGGCAAACGCTCTAGCCTCTAATGGTAATGGCAATGCGGGGTGGGCCAGTCCGCTAGGCATCTGCGTGCGCCGGGTGGCCTAGCCCGCGCGGCGGCCGCCGCCTCCAGAACGCGCAACTGGTCACCGCGAACGCGTGGGCGCGAGCAGCAGCGCGCCCCTGGCGGCAAACCTGCCAACTTGACCCCGCGCGCACTTCGTTTGTTTTTCTAGGGCGTGCGAAAAGAGAAAGGACACGTCCGAATTTTCCGGACCGGTTTCCTCCGTTTCTTTGACAGCCGCCCTCCCGAACAGCCGCGTGTGGAAACGGAACGGACACGTTGTCAGTGGCGTGCGCGGGGGGGGGGGGGGGGGGGGGGTCATGACCCCCCCTTTGGCCACTAGACAGCCGCCTGGAAGGTAGGCAAATTGCGCCACTTTCCCCTGTAAGTAGGCAAAAAGCACGGCCTGACCCCCCCTCTCAAAATTTCTGCGCACGCCACTGCACGTTGTCGCGGACGGCGGGGCGGCGATGGCGAAACTAGAGTGATTGTCTAATACACATTCGTTGTCAGCGCGCTCGGCTTCCCCTGCACCGATTTGCATGATGACTGCATCGGCATGCCCAGGTGCGGGCCGCGGGTCACGTGGCCGTCGAAGGGCACCGACCGGCCGGCCGGCCTGGAGTCCCTGGCGGAGAGGGGAGGGGAGTAAGGGGGAAAGTCAGGCGTCACAGACCCACGTGTCCCGAAGCGTAAAATTAAAAAGTCCCCAGGCTTTCATCATTCCTTTATTTTCGTTTTCCATACAAACTGGCGGCGCCCTCCTCGAGTCACCAGCAGCAGCGCCCCTTCCGGCCGGCGGCCGGGCTGCGCACTGGCAGTAGACTCATTCCGAGCGTCGTTTTCGTCGCTCTGTCCCTCTCGCACCCATACGGGACGCCCCACGGGTGCGAGAGGGACAGAGCGACGAAAGCGACTCTCGGAATCAGTCTGCAGGGCCACTGGCTCGGCCACTGGCCGTGCCCCGGCTGGCTGACTCCCGATTGACCACAAAGGGCGGATGTGACTCTCCCTGCAGGCCTGCAGGACGTCTTTGTTCGCCTCGGCCGCGCGCCGCTTTGCACCTCCTCTATTGGCATTATTCTCAGGCGCCAAGCAGCCCTGGCCGCCCTGGCCGCCCTGCGCCGGCCAGCAGGCTGGTGCCGAGAGTCGTTTCCGTCGCTGTCTCTGTCGCACTCATGTGGCGTCCCGTACAGGTGCAAGAGAGACAGAGCGACGAAAACGACTCTCGGAATCAGTCTTGAGGGGCTGGGCCATGGAGATAGTGCGTGGGCGAGCGGGCCGGGCCGGGCACCGGGGCCGCGACGCCGCGACCGCCTCGCCGCTACTTGAGATTCCTCCCCTCGTTGCGAAACGGGTGACGCGCCGCCATTGTGGACTCGTAGAGCGCGCTCATTTCCCTAACTTGGAACTTTACTCTTCGACCACCGCGCCGCGCCGCGTGGGAAACGGCACGGCGGACTAATAAATTAAAAAGCACGCACGGGGCGCGCGGCGGGCTGCAGTGAGAGCGGCCCGGCCCGGGCACGGCGCGCAGAGAAGGCCGGGCGATGTTGGTGGCCAAGGAATGCCAAAACATATAGCTTCAGTGTGTACAAGAATCAATGTAGTTGGCAGCTTCAAATTGCGCACCAAGCAAAGTGGCGTTCGCAGCACCGCGTCGCACCGCGTCGCCTCGGCTCCAGGACGGCGCTGACGCGTTGCTGACGCGTTGCTGACGCGCGCCACCGCGCCCTCGGCAAGCACAGAGTCCAGTCTTTCTTTCGAGCATCGTCACCGACACTCGAGGCATTCAGCCTCGCTTCTCCTTGCTCCTCTCGGCGGCCACGGCCACAGCCACCTTGCTGTCAGTCTTGTTGGCGGCCACCTTGGCCAGGACGGCCTCGCCGTCCTCGTCGTCCAGGTCGGCGTCCTCGGCGCCCGGCTCCGGCTCGGCCACCAGGTGCTCGGGGACGCCCTCCTTGTTGTACCTGAGGGCGGAACACGAATGAGGATGCAATCACATCACAGCCGTGTCCGGGGCCGAGCGGCCCACAGTGGGCCAGAAGACCGGTGGAGCGGCCAAAATTCTAGACGCCTTTTGAGCTTCAGAGTCGCTAAACAGGCCTCGAACCGAACGTGTGACCCCACCAATGGATTGCTCTCCGAACGAGGAATCCATTGGTGGGGTCACAGGTCGGTTTGTGTCCCATTTAGCGACTCTGGAGCTCAAAACACGTCTAGAATTTTGGCCGCTCCACCGGTCTTCTGGTCCACTGTGCGGCCGAGCGGCCGAGCGCCTGCGGAGTAGGCAACCCTCCGGCGCCGCTGTCTCGCGGAGCTGCCTACCCTCCGTTCCGCGGGCGCTCGGGCCGCGTCGCACAGTGGGGCAAACGCGCGCTGAGCTGTACGGTCCTCGCAGAGGGCTCGAACAAATACGCGTCGGTTCTAATAGATTGCCCTGTGATCTGTTCGTGCCATCTTGTATTTGATTCGAACCCCGCAGCTCGACATGTGAGTCTTTTGACTCACTGAGCGCACGGGACACTGACACACTGGCCGGCGGCCTTACCGTGGGTGTGTTCCGTCTCCCGTCCGCAGCGCGCGCTTCCGCACCAGCTCCTCCGGCGCGGCCTTCAGGTCGTAGGCCCAGCCGATCTTCTCGAAGAACTCGATGATGTTGCAGGTGAAGTTGAAGTTCTGTCCGAACTCGGCGGCCCGGTAGTCCCAGGGGAAGGTGTGGTGGAAGTTGTGCCAGCCCTCGCCGAAGGTGAGGAAGGACACGAGCCGGCTCTCGCTGGGCATGATCTCTCTGTTTCGCGAGAAAAGGAAAAGTTAAAAGGGCGAAGCCGAGCGAAACGGAGCGATAAACATCGTCGCGCGGGTTCGACGCCCGGCGCAGCGCGTGCCGCACCGGTTTCTCTGATTTTACGACAAAGTAGTTTCAAGCCGCCGCGTTACGGCTTTTTCTGGCCGAAGCGCGGCGTCGGCGGAGAGAAGGAGCACTCACTGGTTGAATGGGTGCGTGCCGTACAGGTGGGCCCAGCTGTTGACGAGCCACGCCACGTTGAGCACGACGAAGGTCCTCGTGAGGAAGGAGATGAAGAAGGAGTTCCACCAGGTCTCGCCCCAGAGGTACACGGGCACGACCGTGGGGAACAGGACGGACAGCAGCACGTACAGGATGTTGTAGTACCTGGCGGGGGAGTGAGCCGTTCAGGGGAGCGCGCACTTCTCGCACAAAGTCGGAGGTTCAACTCCCCGCGAGGGGGAACAGCTTCCCACATTCGTTGTACAAAATTTGACCACATTCCACATTCAGGTGGCAAAGACGCCTGTAAGTAGGCAACATGTGTTGCAAAACGCCTGTAAGTAGGCAACATGTGTTGCAAAACGCCTGCAAGTAGGAAACATGTGTGGCAAAAACGCCAGAAATCTTTCACATTCTTGCACATTTTACAGTGGGTCACCCCTCGACTCCCCGGCACACGGGCACCAGTGGCGTGCGGGGGGGGGGGGGAATGACCCCCCCCCCTTTGGCCACTAGACAGCCGCCTGGAAGGTAGGCAAATTGCGTCACTTTTCCCCCCGTGACGTGGCCTGACCTCCCCCCCCTTTCTAAATTTCTGCGCACTCCACTGACGGGCACTCACTTCTTCTGGAACATGACGAGCCAGTCCGCCTCGATGTCGGACATGTCCACCTTGCGGCCCGCCTCGAACACGTCGGGGTGCTTCTTGACCATGAGCCACCCTACGTGCGAGAAGAAGAAGCCCCGCCTCGCGTTGTGCGGGTCGGCGTTCGTGTCGGAGTACTTGTGGTGCTGGCGGTGGTCGCGCACCCACACCCACAGGCAGTTCTGCGGGCAGGCAATATACGACAAAATTTAATTTCTTGTCTTTTTCTGTCGTCGATTTCCGGCTGACCGCCACGGCGCCACGCTCCGCTGCTGACCTGGCTGGAGACGGTCTGCCACAGGACGATGAGCAGCCTCAGCGGGAAGGTGGCTTTGTAGGAGCGGTGCGTGTAGAGGCGGTGCGCGCCCAGCAGCACGGACTGGGCGGAGATGAAGCCAACCACGAACGCTGAACAAGTTGTCCACAAACAACACTGTTAAAAAAGCCGTACAAGGAAAAAGGTACGGCTAGATCGTACCTTACGGTGTACAGAACAACCGTACCCAAAAACCGTGCTTTCCATAAGAGCCCAAGTTATGAAAAACCGTGCTCCGTACCCCAAAAGCCGTACTGGCTAAGGTACGGTGGTACCAGGCAAATTGTCTACCGGACTGTGCCTGTACCTTTTTCCGTGGATTTTTTCTACAGTGAAAGATGTAAAAAACACATAAAAGACATTTTAAGAGGTGGCGGTTGGTACATCAACAACACTTTCGGGTGTTTAATGCCCAAATTAGAGCAAACTGCACCCTAAATTCTTATGCACTCTTCTCGCAGAGAGCGATTGAACGATTCGGTGCGTATAACGGCACTTTATTGCGTTCGCAATTAGGCGTGCACAAAAAGTTAAAAGCACGGGAATTAAGTCGCGCCCCTATGCTGGCGCACGCAGGCGCGCGTCTAGAGTACTCTGCGTTTTACTGCATTTGATGTTGCGGAAAGGCAGTCTTAAATCGTCGAGCCTACTCGAACCGGCTTTGGACATGTAGTCCTGCTGGGCGCATCCTGATATAATGATGAAACTAGTATGTAAAGCTGCGCCGCGTCGGCGACGCTAGACGTGGAATTCGCGGTCATTCACCTGCACCTCATCTTCTTGCATCCAGAAATGCAGAAATCGGCTTCCCCCGATCGACGCTTGCTCAGCCAAAGAAAAAAAAAACATTGCTCTGACACTTAGTTCAAAGGAGCCGTCTCTTGAAATAACAGAAATGGAATGGATTCCAAGAAATAGCTTTAGAGTTGATAATAAAGAAGAATCTGAGAATCACTTAAAATATTCTGGTGTTCAACAGAAAAATACGAGGGAAATACCGATTTGGTTGCCGCAAAAAGCGTTTTGAGTGAATTTGCAGGATTTTGAAGCCAATGCCGGTGGCGGCAAGCTAGCAGGGCGAGCAGGCGGATTGGGCAGACGGGCGTCGCTGCCCTCGCTGCCCTCGCGGCCCCGCGCTCCGGGCCGTCCGCCCATCCCCATCACGTCCCTGGATTCATTCTCAAAGATTGGGCCTCAGTGTCGAGAATCTCTCCAAAACTTCTCCAAATTTAAATGAAAAAGAGACCGGAAGTGCTGAGGAATACTTTATCTGCTCGAAAGATTAACAGAAAAACGGTTGGCAAAATTTACTTTTGCAAAAATGTCATCAATGATTTTAAAAGTTTGAATTAATTTAGAAAATGATTGGCAAATTCTGGAGATGCTGCCTCCCACTGACTTCCCCTTACCCACCCTGGACTTTGGTCCACACTTACCCCAGATGTCGGTGATGAGGTAGGCTTCGAACATGCCCAGGTAGATGCCGTACAGGGTGCCGAGGTGCAGGATGAGGAAGCCGATGGCGTTGAACCACACAATCTTCCTCTGGTAGGGCTTCGCCTCGGGCTTGTCCACGGAGAGGGCGTCCACGGCGGCGCCGTTGTCCGCCACGGGGGTGGCCGTCTTGAGGGAGGCTTTACCGTTGAGGGTGGTTTTGCCGTTGGCCGCGCCGTTGGCCGCGCCATTCTGCGTCGGCTTGCTGGCGATCCGCTGCGACAAGTCCTTGAGCATGGAGGACACCTCCGGGTCCGAGGAGAACTTGGACGTCATCGGATCTCTGGGAACGGAAGCAAGCAGACGGTGTGCCGGGCTGGAGGGCGACTGGCAGGAGGGCGACTGGCGAGAGGGCGACTGGCAGGACGGCGACGGCCGGAGGTTCAAGTACCGATGGGCGGACATGTTTTTATTTTTGTTGGCTACGAGCCTCCACGATTGCTCCCGAACGCGTTCACCGAACGCATGCGTCCGTCGTCCGGCCGCTGCGAGTTGCCGAGCCTGCCGAGCCGAGTGCCGGTTTGAGGCTCATGACTCCTCGCAAAATGCAACTCGGCCGGCCAACGAGAGCGTCGCCTTAAAGACGTACCCGCGTCCTGCCCCGCCCCCTTCGCCGCCCCCCGCGCCGCCCCCCGCGCCGCCCCTACCTTCCCACACGAGCTACTCGAGCCCAGCGAGGCAGCCGCCCCCCGCGCCGCCCCGAGCCCGAGCCGCCCCCGACAGTGTACCGCGAAAAGCCACCGTCGTGCTTTCTTTTCGCAAGGAAATTAAACGGCCGGCGCGACCAGTGTCAAGGCCAACGCAAGAAACTGTTCCAGTGATCCAGAGAGACTCTTTTAATATGCAAGCCTCTGCACTGGGACGTAGTGGGGTGTTGTCGAATAAAGAAGCAAAACATTGGACTTCTTGAGGGCTTGTTGAAGCGCAGACGCGCCCCGCCGGCCTCATGGAGCCCCTCGAAGAGACAGTGAGCTAGTCCCGGGAGCATCATTCCGCCCGCCCCGCCCCACCCCGTCGCGCGTGCCGGGATGAAGGACCTTTAGCTGTCCCAAATTAAAACTTTGCTCCGCAAATCGACTTTGGCATTCCAATCAGAAATCATAGGGGTTCGAAGGCAAAGCTCAGCGCCGCCTGCCCAGGTGTGGTGGCCACCCTTGGAACTACGAGAATGTCCATGGTACTGTCGAATCGCGGCGAGCATGGGAGAGCAGACGACGCCGCCGACTAAAGATCGCTGACATGTCGAAACCTGTGTCGTCTGAGCTCTCTAAAATTCACTTGAACATAGAAAAGTCAACCCCGATAAGCGTAACAGCGTAAAATGCTGAGCGAAGGGATTTACAAATCCCTTGGACCATAGTTGTAACAACTTAGTGGGGTCGACGGTGCTGCGCTCTGGCGGGCCTTCGAACCCCTATCTGTTGCTGGCCTTCCAAAAAATTAAGTCAATTTTTTTTGCCGCGGTTGCTTCTGGTGTCACCACAGCTTCTTGCTGGGCTGAACGTCCGAAAAACCTTATAGCCGACCAAACAGGCTAAACGCGGCTAAACGCGTCCTGAGCAGTGAGCAGCGCAGGGCCAGGCAGGGCCAAGGCAGGGCCAGGCAGGGCCAAGGCAGGGCCAGGCAGGGCCTGGGGAGAGCAGGCGGTTCCTGCTGACGGTCACGACTCCAGTGCGCGTCACTCCAAGCGCCCCGCCCGTCCCTGTGGGCCGCACTATCCCCGAGCGCCCCATTTCTCCGCGAGCAAGTCGTGTCCAGAGCGCGGCCGGTGCGGTCTGAATTCCTTTTGTCTTGGGCCTCACTCCTCACTCGGGCGGTCAAAAGCGCATTTGCAGCGACGAGCACAGCGGAACGGAACGAAAAGAAAAATATCCACTGGAGCAGCCGACCCGACGAACGGCGTTCTCAGATTGTCCGGATCGAACTTCGGACGTGGAGCCCCACGCAGGAGCAAAGAGAAGCTCACCTCTTGCCCGGCCTCGGTGGACAGCAACACACCCGCCAGGACACAACCAAAGACTAACGCGCAGCGCCTAGAGTCGACCTTTATACCGCGACACTGCTACGCGTAGCGCGCTGCCACACTTTCAGGGGGCTGCTTCCGACCCGCTCTAGGAAGGGGACTTTTCTTGCGACATATCGGCATTAGCATTCGCCGCCACTACTAGTGGAGTGGCCGGGTCGCGGGCCGCTGCCGTTTGGCTTTCAAAGTTACCCGTTCCGGCGTCACCGGCACGCTCATCCAGCGCCCGTTGACAAGTTCGCCAAATTTGGCCAAATTGGTCCGATCGGTCTGAATTTTCACCACGCAGGGTAAGGATTCGGAGCATCCATTTTGGTAACTACAATATGCCCGACGCCGCTCCGGCCGCGCGGCACAATACCCGGACTGTACCCGACCCGCCAGGCGATTGCTTACCAACCCGAACCCTCGCCCGAACCCCGAACCGCGCTCAACGTCTGCAGACCTCCGAATCTTGCGCGGGTAGAACGAACCCGCAATCAGGTGCCGCCGGCCGGGGTCTGTTCGCACGTTTCTGCGCTGCCCCCACCCCGGCAACACTGGCTCTTGAGGACAAAAACTCCCCCCTCCTGGCCTTTTTGTAACCTTGCGCCAAACTAGAGCCCTAGGCGACCAATATGCCCCGTGGGGGCATAGGGCTCTCCGTCAAACGACAGGGCGGCGAAAACTGGTTTAACTTGGGCTTACCGACAAAACCATGAAGGCTTCACGGGCCCCGCTTGGTTATGCATCGAAAATAAATGTGACTCATGCAGCCGAAAACAAACCTGCCGCATTGATTGAAAATCATTGTGTCGTTTCCGCTCGATTGCGTCACGCGGCGTCATACTGGCCGCGTCAAAGCATGGAGTCGCCCAGCGCGTGAGAACGGTTTTGGTCGAGCAGCCCGTCATCGCCGTCATGGATGGCACGCCGCAAGGCACGCCGCGCAGCGCGCATCCACGTGCGGGAGGAAGGAACAATGGTGCCATTCCGCTGCATTCCACTTTTCATTCAGTCTCTCTCGCACTTATAGGGTGTGCCGTAAGGGTGCGAGAGACTTGCCTACCTTCTAGGCGGCTGCCTAGTGGCCAAAAAGGGGGGATGTCATGACCCCCCCCCCGCAGGCCACTGGATGGGGTCGCGAGCCGGAAAAGGTTGAGAACCGCTGCAGACTGATTTCGAAAGTCGTCTTCGTCGCTGTCTCTGTCGCGTCCATAACAACGCTTCTTGAGTGCGAGAGAGACGGCGCGACGAAAACGACTCTCGGAATCGGTCTGCTGGTAGAGGCCGAGGGCGCGGCGCCGCGGGTCACGGCAGCCGGCAGTCACAGGTGCGCCGCGTTTTGCCTCCCCATTTCCGAACCACCTGTACCATATCAATCGCCTCGGCGCGTCTGTCATGGGACTGCGACTTAATCTAATCGTGCAGGAGCCCCGGCCCCCTCCGCCCGGGCCGTCAATCGGCTCCGTGCATTGAGTCATGTAGTTGCGCGGGTAGCGGTAGGAGGACGCCACTGGGCGCCGTCAGGCTCGCCGTCAGGCCGTCCTGGTCAGAGCCGCGGGGATGGCGTCGCCTAGTGGGCCGGCACCCACACTGCTCCTCCCGCTCGTGCTGTTGCTCTGCTCGGGGACTCTCCAGGTAAACAATGCGGACTTTCGCCGGTACTTGAACAGCGTATCGGTGAGTACGGCAGTGACACGTCCAATACACTGTGCAGGTGGCGGTGGGCGGCCACGGCGCGAGCGGCGCGCGCACGGTGCTGCAGTCCCCGGTGGCGCCCAGAGACGCGGCCGAGGCTGCGGCGCGGTGCTGCGGTCCGGCGTCCGCGCTGCTCCCGCAGCCCCCCCTGGGGCACCCGGGCCCCGCGCGGTGCTGCGGCCAGGGCTGGGGCCTCCACTGTTGCATCGGGGCGGCGTGCTGCCTCGCCGACGTCGTGGTGCCCGTGCCCCCCGTGCCGGGGGTGCCCGGGGTGCCGACGCCCAAAGGGCTCGCCCAGCCAAGCTCCGCAGCCCTCGGCGGCGGGCCCTTGGCCAGGCCTGCCGAGCGCACCCTTTACGGCAGCGACCCCTGGTGGAAGAAAGACTGGGCGCAATGTGAGTGGTCCTCGGTCCTTGTCGTGTGCCCTACCACCAGTCACACAAGAACGGGTCCTCCGATACCCCATGCGCAAGAGACCACCCTGATGACGCGGAGTATCGGCGGCTCTCTTGATTTGTCACCGTTGGTTGGTGCTAACCATAGACAACATGGACCCCACTGATCCGGCTTGTGCCTCCAGGGCTCAACCTGGGCATCGTGCTGCTCGTCGTGGCGGTGGTGGGCGGCATCCTGACGTGCTGCTGGCACCGCTGGCGCCGGGACACGGCCTTCCACATTCGGCAGCAGCGACTGCTCGGAGACTCCGGCCTCTACAGCTACGGCGCCACAGGCGAGTCATTCAACGGTTTCATTTCCCTACGTTATGCTGACTATACTCTGACCAGAAAATGAAGAGCCCTGAGTCCTCTCAGTTTATGGCATCTGCCGCCTTGGTTAGCATTGCAGGTAGCCCTCGACCGCGAGAACCCAGGGCTCTTCGTTTTCTGGTCAGAGCAGGTCAGAGTATATATACGAGGCAGCTGGCTCTCTTCCTCCCATTGAGATCTAATAAGAGTGAGAAAGACAGCTGGACATTTCGGATGCACACAGCGTAACGAAACCAGTAAACGCCCTATTCGTGTATCCATCCCTCCCGAAGTATGTTACTGAGTGGTGTTCCAGGACCCAACCCGACTGCGCCGCATTACAGCAGCCCCCCGATGGCGTCACGATGGGTGGACTTCTCCTACAAGCCCCCTATGAAGAGCCACAACAGCCCCCTGTACAGACAAGGACCAATGGTGAGGCCGCGCCCCTCCGACAGCGATACTGGCGTCCGTCGGGTCTCACTTGTCTTTTCATCGTCAGATGAAGAGTACAAACTCGTTACGGAGTTCAAGCGAAAAACTAAATGGCCGGACTGAATTTAAGTGCCAAGAACTTAACAACATTGTTTTGAGTAATAGAGGTTTAAATTATTTCAGGTCTCTCAATACTACCCCCACCCTGCAGGTGTGTAGCTCAAACTTGTCTCTCCATCAGCATGTTCACCGATTAAAGGAAGTTTCAAATAAATGACAAGTCTCAATAGGTAGCAAAGTTATATATTTAACTTAAATGCAATGAGAAATACATAAACCTTGCCGCACACCATCGTCTTACCGGGAAGAGACAGAAACCTGCCATACTCTAATAATATTGTCAGAATAACCAGCAAACAGAGTCTGTCCATCAGTAGACCAGGCCAGAGACAGGCACTGGGGAGGCTCAGCCTTGGTGGTGGAAGATACGACTTCGGGTCGGAGCTCCTCAACCATGTCCTTTGATTCAAGATCCTAGAAAGATACAAAAGAAGGATAAGTATAGAAACTACAAACATAACTGCCACAGTTCGACAAACAACATATGAAATTGAAACTAACCCAGATCTTGATGGAAGGTCCATATGCAGCACAGAGCCAGTAACGGTTAGGGCTGAAGCACAGAGCGGTAATGATATCGTTGTGGTCCAGGGTGTGCAGATGCTTGCCATCATTGAGGTCCCAGAGCATGGCCTTGCAGTCCTGAAAAAGAATCACAGATCGTTATTTACTACAACTATAAGCAAAGACTACCTGTAACAGGTAACGGGTGACACTGACAACCTATCCTGATATTAATAAGCGTAGCAAAGCTAAGGAACTACAGCAGTCACCCAGCATCAGGATGGGCAAAACTACTAAATTTAGAGAAAAACTGTACTAGACAAGGAGTAACAAAACTAGATGAAAATCAAGTTTTAACATGACCTTTCCCAGATTTTGTATGGGCCAAAAGCGAAACTGGGAAACTGAAGCAGTTATCCAGGATTAGAATGGCCATTGCAACTAAATGAAAAAAGGAACTGTACTAGATTGGGAAGGAACAAAACTGGTACGGAAAACAAGTTCTGACAAATCCTAGCCCAGATTTTGTGTTGGCCAAAAGCGAAACTGGGTAACTTAAGCAGTTATCCAGGATTAGGATGGCCATCAACTAAATCTAAGAAAAAAATTGTACTAGATGAAGGGGAACAGAACCAGTATTAAGAACAAGTTCTGACAAACCCTTTCCCAGATATTATGTCGGCCAAAAGCGAAACTGGGAAACTTAAAAAGTTACCCAGGATTAGAATGGCCACAGTAATACGAGAGAAAATTACAAACCTTGCCACCAGAAGCACACAGGGAACCGTCAGGAGAGACAGTGACAGTGTTGAGGTATCCAGTGTGTCCAATGTGGTTGATCTTCAGCTTGCAGTTGGCAAGGTTCCAAACCTTAACCATCCTGTCCCAGCCAGCAGAAACAATGATGGGGTTGTGGTGGTTGGGGGAGAAGCGGACGCAGGACACCCAGTCACTGTGGCCCTCATCCTGTGTAAAATTAAAAAGAGCATAAAAATCCAAGCAATAGATTTCGGAGATACACAATATTACAAGATGCTTACAGTGATAGTGTACTTGCACTCAGCAAGTGTGTTCCACAGCTTGATGGTCTTGTCTCGGCTGCCAGATACAATCTGACGGTTGTCCACAGAGAACGCAACGCTCAACACATCCTAAAAACATTATAGTCGAATAAGAAAATAAGAAAGAGCACAAGCATATTGACGAATTTAAAAGCTTAGAGTTGGTAAAACTAATCGAATGAGGGGGACTGTTATCACATCTTTAACTAAAACATGTCGCAGACACCTGATGCATACTGAAGTGGTTAGTCTACCGAAAGGCTGCGCCTATAAGAGGCAAATACTCACGAGACGTAGCCCATGAATCTTCTAACTATAAAAAAAAAATTTCAAAAAAAAAAGCTTCCGTTTTGACCATCACACCTTGGTATGGTCCTCGAATCTTCTGGTAGAGCGTCCGGCAGCGAGATCCCACAGACGAAGGGTCTTGTCCCATGAGCCAGACAGAGCATAGTTACCATCAGAGGAAAGCACAACATCGCTCACAAAGTGTGAGTGACCGTACAATCGCTTCTGAGGGACACCATAGCTGTGGTCATCACGGGTCAACTTCCACACAATAAGGGTCTTGTCTGTAACAAACCAAGAAAGATTATAGTCCTGGCCGACTCGAAAACAAGATTCAGGAACAGTCGAGGAAATTTGGGGATGGCGCTTGGTCGTGCACACATGCAGCCCAGAGGTAAACACATCCCAGGAACCAGCAATGCCAGGTCGAAGTTTTCGTCTGAATTTGCGGTTAAAAATACCGGAATCGAAAAGGGGAACAGGAGTATCGAAGAGAAAGAGGGCAAAAACGTTAAGGCCCGAACCAGAACGTCACTATGCTAAACTAGCAAGGGACGTTAAGTCCTTAACCTATCAAAATCGCGCAAAGAATGGATTGCCCTCGGAGTACATTCGACCCTTAGGGGAGTACTCTCCACTTGAGGGAATTGAAGAAAACGCATGGGGACAAAATTTAGGGAGCCATAAACACATGGACACTGATATGTGGGAAAACCGGCAAAAAGCACGGCGCCGACGTGCCGCGCGTACGAACCTCGGGAGCATGACAAGATCATCTCCGGATACTTCGGGTTGGTGGCGATTTGGGTGACCCATCCATTGTGCCCCCTTAAAGTTCCACGCAGCTGGAGTGATTCCGACGACATTTTCAGCTAATTACAGCCTGACGGTCCCGATTCAACAAGATAAAATACACATCGGCTGCCCAGCACGAGCGCCACGAAGAGCCTGGGCCGGAGAAAGGACCGGAACCAGAAAGCGTTGCCTTGTCGGGCGGCAGCGGCTCGTGCAGCAGGCGGTGGCGTATTCCCTCGCCATCTAGCGGCGGTTGGCGGCAGTTCTGTGGACTTGTGGGGAATACCGGCTGCGTTCGGAAATGGCAGCTCCGTCTGGTTCCATCCCTCGCGAGGAAAGGAGATAAAATTCGGAAATTCGGAGATTCGGAAATCGGCCTTCCCTCGTGGGTAGCTATAGCAACGGCATCTAAGTTGCCCGATGGCGAATTTGGCTTCCTGATCAAACCGAGTTATTATTATTTGAGTTCTTATTATTATAATTTCAATGGCTGACAGAATAATCCCCTCTGTGAATTCCCTTGTGAAGTATGACAATGCCGTTCTTGTTACCAAACACACTGACAAGAAACTTCCCCCGATCAAAGTTGGTGTACAAGTTTCTTTTAACATTGTTTATGATTCTGAAGAAAAGTGGACATCCTTTTAAAATTGTATTTCTACCAAACTTTAGGTTCAGCCTGGAATCTCGGCATCAGCAACTGCTCCTAAACCTGGTACATCTGCAGCAGATCTGCGAAAAGAAACTGATGAAATACTCAATTCAATTCTCCCTCCAAAAGAATGGACCGAAGACAATCAGCTTTGGAGACAACAGGTTCAAAATTTGTTGAATATATTAGGATGGCTTGTGTAATTTGTGCAAACCTACATAAATATTTCAATAGGTTTCAAGCACACCAGCTACTCGCCTGGATGTCATCAACCTTCAGGAACAATTAGATATGCGTTTACAGCAAAGACAAGCAAGAGAAACGGGTATTTGTCCTGTTCGCAGAGAGCTGTACACCCAATGCTTTGGTTGGTATAGAAGTCAAGCCTTGTAGATTACTCTTCCTTCATCAATTTTTAATCAATATAGTTTTTTCCTCAGATGAGATAATTCGTCAAGTCACAATTAATTGTGCAGAAAGAGGTCTCCTCCTTCTCAGGGTTCGAGATGAATTAAGGATGACTGTAGCAGCATACCAAGCTTTGTATGAAAGCAGTATTGCGTTTGGGATGAGGAAAGCATTGCAGGTATTTAAGAAACTTTGTTCAGTGGATGTATAGCGGCAAAATGTACCCTCTTTCCCACACAATTACATGTTCTTAAAAATTATTTCTCCTAAATACATTATAACAGGCAGAACAAGGAAAGGCAGATTTAGAAAAAGATGTTAAAGATTTGCGTGACGACAAAGAAAAATTGGATAAAAGTTTACAAGAAGAGCGGACCAAGGCAGACCAACAGGAGAGGCGTTCAATTGAACAAAGGGCAGCTGAGGAAAAGAAGCATAGCGAAGAGATAACATTTTTGAAAAAGACTAATCAACAACTCAAGGTTTGATAAAACTAATTTTTAGAATGCTTATTGTTACATCAAATCTTCACATTGGCTAACTACTTGTGTTCTTTACAGACTCAATTGGAGGGTATAATAGCACCAAAGAAATGAGAACTCTAGGGGCTACCTTTAATTGTTGGCTCCAGTTCCTCAGCACAAGCCTTCCATCAAGCAGATACAATTGTAAAGGGTGACAAATGAGTAAGGCAAATTAAAACATTCCTTTTTTTGTTTATTCTTTGTTTTTGTACACAGCATATAGTTTCTATAACAGATAACACTAACCAACACCACTGATCAACCATTGTTGGGACAAAATGTGGAGTTCCTCACAACAGTAAATTTGCATTTTGGTCAATTTTAATCTGCAGTTCTCTGAAATTCAACATTCTCAAGCTCACAATGAACTTGGTAAAAACAGAAATTATAGAACATCACAGTGAGAAGACACTTTGTTTAGCTGCATTTGACAATGCTGAATAAGACACAGCTTAATTTTGATTATATTATTGCAGTCAAAACCACATTGAGGCATCTCTAGGCCATGTGAAATATGAATTACAAACTGGAATCCAGGATAAAGGGACGGAGAAACAGTGCATTTTGGGACGGATGGGTGTGAATCCGTCTTAAGACATTTGGCATCAACAAAATATAAGAACAAATTACAAAATTTATGTCAAAAAGTAGAATGACTCTAAAATCATGACATGAAAGGCAGGCAGAACAATCATTTTGAAATTAATCAACATTGAATAACAGAAGGATTACAAACTATTTGGTCAAAAGTATTGAATTTTTACAATATTGAAATGAATGGAACAAAGTCATGCAAAGATTCTTTGATCTGCATCAAGAACATTCCATAGAAAGTGTTAAGTAATCTCTAAGACTCATGAGGAAGGAACACACAAAGAAAGGCACATATAATACTGGGCAGTGGTCTTTTCAACCCACCATTAGTCAAATCTTTCAAAAGAAAAACACTGAAAAGCTAATTTTGGGGGAAAAGCTAACCCTGTAGCTTAGGAGTGAGACAATTAAAAATTAATTACAAGGAAATCATAAATTTGCATCCGGTCTCATCAGTTGTGCAAATTCAGATACAATGCAGATAGAATCACAGAAATTTTTACTGATTTAAACGAGAGGGCATGAAACACCCAACAACAGAAACAGTGTACAAAAATACAGGGCTTTTTGTTTTGTTTGGAATCCATGAGAGCTCTCAAATCATAAGAGGAATTAATTAATCAGTCACTTTACAGGCAGGAATTGTGATGTTCCAGGTGCTATGTGAATAAATGGCCTCAACAAGATATAAAGAGGGCATGTATCTTTACTTTGGACTCTCACATTCTAAAACATCCTTCCTTTACAATTCATTATAAATGGAGGGAAACAGCTGCACACAACAATCAACACCAGCAAGTAAACATCTTTTTCTTTACATAAAAATAAATACAATAAAACTTACTTAAAATCAGAAATATTACACTGAACATAAAGACCTCTTGGAAATAAAGGTAAGTTTAATAAAACTTCACATTACAATTAAAAATGTACATACACATTGAAAACTTAAAAAGGAATTATGTCCAACAGCTGAGGACCAAATAAATAAGAGTCAAATTTGAAGGTCGACTAATAATGTAGATAATTATCAAGTTCATGATAAAATCAATCACATGAAAATACACAAAATCTGCGAGATAATCTAGTGTTTCTTCTTGCTGCGCTTACGCCTCTTTTTCTTATTGGCGTTGTTGGGTTCCGGACCATCCTCTGTAGTAGGGGAAGTGGGAGTTGATGACGGAATGTCAGAAGACTGTTGCTCTTCTTCTTCGACTTCTTCATCCTCATCTTCGTCCTGTAAAGTCGGAGAGACTGGTGTGGCGGGGTTAATAAGAATGTGGTCCTTGGCTTCACCGGGACTGCAGAGTTCCAAAGATATGATCTTCTCACGTGTTGTTTCAACCTACACACAAAACAGATAACAGGTGTTATAAAGCAATCAAACGCTGTGGGAACAAGGAAAGGGGGACAATAGTAACACGTGGAAGTAATTTACATATTAGTTATGAATTTGTCTAGACAGTTAGAGTATGAACAATAGAACTTAGAAGAAACCATGCAGCAAATTATCTGAAAGCCATGCAAAAAATGTTACCAGTAAGTTTTTTTTTTGTCTCTCATTTTTGCAGAAGTTAAAATAACATGCAAAGGTGCTTTAGAAAGATGCTAGTTGTTTCATACTGCGTTGGCACATTTATACAGACATACATACACAAACAGTCAGTCGTGAAAAGGGTACATTGGGGTGTTTTTAATGATATTGTGTAGGTGTGTGCTGCAAAAGCAAATGACGAATCCAGTCCATTTGTAAAAGAACACTATTATAGAGAATTTTCTTCATTTCTAACATTGATTTAACAAATTAAAAGCAAGCAGGGTGATAATACAAGTAGGTTCCTTGGTTGTTTCAGGTGAATATTCCCACCCAATTTGTAGATGGAAAAAACTTAAGTTCTCTCTTAATCTTTTGCACACAACACGGAACCTGTGCAAAACATCCACTACCACTGTTGCAAAATATTCACATGTTGCCATACAACTGAACCAAAACAATATCAATGACAGCATCAGCGGCAAATACAGCAATAGCATCAGAACAAAAAGTGCTACATGCACAGCGAAAGTGAGATCGCCGTGAATTAACGCAATTTGTACCTCTTTCTCTATCAGCTTTTCAACGTATTCTACGGTGCGAACTTTGATCACTCCTGACGCTTCGTCCACATACTCCTCCGTTTTTCGGGTCACTTTTTCTCCAAGAAGTCGTTCAGACTCTCGAATTTTTGTGGCCCCCTCTTGGGCCCGGAGGGCCAGCTTTGGGAAATCAGCACTAGAAGGCCGTAGTAAAGCAGGACATGGCTAACGCAGGGAGCAGGGGGAGCAGTTAGTACCCAGCACCTCTCCGCACCATCAATTGCCAATAATTCAACAACTCATGATTAAACTTGTTTCAGTCCAAACACACAGTTATCGTTATCTTCCCTATTATTAGTTTGAGATGAAAATAGATAGTAGTTAGTGTAATTCAGAAGGAACAAAAACAAAAATCAAGTAAGCAGTTATTATATTTTAGTATTTGTGTAAGATTTTCAGATAGATTAATCATCTGCTGTATGACTGTTCCAAAGGATAAACAAACTTAATAAAGCATAGTTATGGTAAAGTCCCTTTTTTAAAAAAAAGGCACAAAGAAGGATGGAAGCTTGCATGCGAGAGAAAGGTCAAGGCTCCAATAAAAACATTTCTTTTTGAATTTCATGATGGGAAAGCACACCAACAAAGCATGGCATGAAATTATGACATACTGCACTGGGATACAAAGTCAAATTAGAATCAAGTTGATTCGAGTTTCGTACAGTATGATAACACAGAGAAAGCAGGGTAGTTTGGGATGATGAAAAACAGAAATAGGTAATGCAGGTAGAAGAAGTAGTAGAATACTATCAATGTGTACTCACCTCCAGCTCTACATTATTTTCACCATCAGGATACACACTATTATTGTGATGCAAATGGCTATTTTCAAAATTATTATTATTGAAGGGTACAGTGTCAGTTTCTTCTACACCAGAGGCTGGTGCTGGCACAGCTTCAGATTCTGGACTGGTGTTTGGTTTATTTTGATCATTGTCGATCATTTCACTCATTTTCTTAATAACCATTTGAGCTTGCATCGCATCCTGCAGGAAAAAAGAGAAATTGTTCAGAGTCCTGTACGAAACAAATAGGTAAAAATATGGAACAACGAAGTCAACACGCACCTGCTCCAGAGATTTAAAACGTGCTTGACGCCACGCAGCTCGTTTCTCGGCTCGTAAAGCACGTTGTTCAGCTGGAGAAAGTTCCTTGTCCTCCTCGTCCGTCAGTACACCCTATAAAATCATATTTAATAAGCCGATGTTTAAAAAAAAATGGCTTTTCCTGAACTCTAATCCTTTTCATAAGTATCAAAAATCAGAAGTTTAGGGTACTAACCTCCTGCAAAAGTCTCTCTTTTCGCCTTCTCTCCGCTTTCGCAGTGCGGACAGGTACTTCTCTGACAGGTGTACTGGGTGCGTTCCTAAAAGTTAAGAATAGGTGGATATTGGTAAGAAACACAGTACTCTGATTTTCATCCCTCTTAATCTTAAGTCACTTAAGTGTGGTACCTGTTCGAGCTAATGTCTGGTTCATTACAGCTTTCATTGCGATCCTCATCTTCTTCATCATGTTCAACCATGTTGGTCAGAGTCTTGAGCTCTGATCGAGAGAGGGATGCAATTTTCTTTTCTGTTCAAAACAAACAGGTAAAATAAGTGAAACTAGATTGAGTAAAAATGTACAAAATAAGTAGGAAAGCTTGTATGACAGTACCTTCTTCCTGCTTCATACGTTCAATCTCATCTTGACTTAAAAAGCTAAATACTTTTTCTGAAAATGGGTAGAAAGTAGTTGAAATTATAGAGGGGCCTTCGCACTTTTGTAGGCAATGAAAATGTATGATTGCTTCACCTGGTTTGGGAGATGGCTGATGCTGCTCCTCCATGGCTTTTTCAAAGAACTTCATCTTGTCACTCACAGACATTTTCTGAGGAGGGGCAGGAGGAGAAGAAACACTTGCAGTTGCAGTGGAGGTTGTCACAGCTGTGATATTTCCTGACACTGCACTGGAATTTTGGGCGGAGTTGGCAAGGGGTGCACTCGCAGCCTGGGGGGGAAAACAAACCATAAGAGTTGCTGTACTGTACTTTAAACCCTAAGCACAAAAATTATGCACTACATTTGACTAGTTGATTCAGATAAATCTACATGTGGACTGGCAAGTAAGTTGTACTTTACGATAAATTGGCACAAGGAAGATCAAGAATCAGTTTCAATTGGCTTATGAGACCTACAATACAACAGAAGCTGCAGAACTAAATGCTTTAAGTATGGTGCAGGCAAAAGTTACTCAGGGGTTTCATCATTTCGTCACATCCCACATCCCATATTTTTATTATTATTATTATTATTATTATTATTATTATTATTATTATTATTAACAATTCTTAAAGCCACAACCTGTCCAACACGAGTCCACACTGCATGCACTGCCCATGCACAAACCCAGTGGAACTGTCCCACCTTTTCTGAGATGCAGTTCATTGATAGCATGCAAAAATAATTAAACTTATTCTAAGATTGATGTGTATGGCCCACTTTGTTCTGCCAACACCCACCTGGTGTGAAGATACAGTTCTGTCCAGTTGGTTGTCCAGAATGCTCCATGCAGAGCGACGTGGGGATTCGGGATGGGAGGGGTGCAAGTGGATGGGAAAGGTGCACTGTGCACGGCTTGGCGATGCCAAATGTGAGTGTGCTACCATAGTCAGTGGATTCTGTAAAGATGCCAATACACCTAAAGCTGATGATGCAGACGGTACAAAATCAGAGATTTTTGAATCTGTGGGTTCCCCATACTGATTCTCACATGCAACGGGCATTGAATATGGGACTGGGCTGACTGTGGAAATAGGGAATATTGGACGCTGATCAGTGTCAGAAAGCTCTGTGAGAATAAAAGTACTTGTACTTGATGTGGGCATAGTAGCATAGCAAACAGGTGGAGGAGTATCAATCTCTTCAGCATCACTTCTGCAATTGCTAGAAGGTTGAGATGCAATCAAAGAATTAAGAAATGATGATGGAAGAACAGAGGGACTTCCTTTAGGTTCCTGACTCAGCTTAGGTGGATGGATAACGGAGGGAGGGTCAACAGATCTGAATTGTACAGGAGGGGGAATTACTTTGGCCTCTGCTACCTGAATATCACCCAGTTTATGATCTAAATAAGGCGGAAGGCCTGAAACTGTACTTGAAGGAGTTGGTATGCTACCTAGAAAACAATATGACTCAGTTGTACTAGAGCCTCTATACTTGGTTGGAGTTTGGGTTGAAGAGGGCTCATTAATTCTATAATTGTAACTCTCATCTAATTGCTTACTGATAATGTTCTCCCTAAAATCTACACTCTCTTGGAAAATTGAAGATCTTTTAGACTCTGCTTCGTACACAGAGTGATATTGACTTGAAAGTGGAACCGTACTCGGAGGAGGAGTGTTTGAAGGAGGAACCTCTTTCACTCTGGCAGCTGATGAATGTTCTTTTTTAGAGAAAGCTGACCTATATTCCTGTTCTGAGGAAGCTGATAAATTTATTTTTTCTGAGAAAGCTGATGAAAGTTCCCTAGTAGAGGAAGAAGAGCCAAATTGATTGCTTGATGTAATAGAAGATGGTTCCTTCAGCGAGGAGGCTGGGGCTGAGCTTAAGTGCCTGTATGTGGGTACTGAGGAAGCTTTCTTGTCTGAGGCAACTGAAGAAGCTTCCTTGTCTGAGGCTACTGAAGAAAATTCTTTACCCGAGGCAACTGAGGAAAATTCCGTGTTAGTAGCAACTGAGGAAAATTCCTTGTTGGTAGCAATTGAGGAAAATTCCTTGTTTGTAGCAATTGAGGAAAATTCCTTGTTGGTAGCAACTGAGGAAAATTCCTTATCTGTAGCAACTGAAGCAAATTCCTTGTTGGTAGAAACTGAGGAAAATTCCTTATCTGTAGCAACTGAGGAAATCTGTTTGTCGATGCCAACTGAAGAAAATTCCCTGTTTGTGGAGACTGAGGAAGATTCCTCCTTTGAATGCATCAGGTGTGAAACTAGTTCTTCATGTCCTGCCTTGCTCTGGCCACTAAATTTGTTAGTAAACTCTGGTTGATGCTTATTGTGTGCTTGACTAGGAGAAGCTGAAGAATAAGTACCATGTAAGGTCTCAGATGACTCCATTTTTTGAAATGTTGTCTCCCTTTCAAGATTATCCAAGGACTGAGAAAGAAGAAATTTTCCAGAAGTAGATTTTGTTGTATGAATTGGACGGTCAGGATGAGGGCATTTAGGAATCAATACACGTTCATCTATGGGTGTTGAAATAGCACTCTTGTAAGTGGAGTTTTCGCCTTGAGAGGTTCTCATGTTTTGTTTACGCGAAGGTTGTTTAGAAAAAGATTGGAAGGAGGTTTCCTGCAGAGGCTTATTAAGTGTCGATTCTGATAAAGATTTTGCACCAAGGTTGCCAGGGTTGGGATGGGGGTGAGAGGAAGGCAGTTTTTTGGGTGTGGGGTTAGAAGAAGATGGTGCTCCTTCCAATATCATGTTAGATGTTGGTGCGCCCTGTTATGCAATATCATTATTGCAGAAATTAGTGCACATGCAAACAATCCATATTGCGGGACATGCATTCTTCCAACAAACATCTTTGTTGATGTTTTGATAGAAGATTGCCCCCAAAATTTTGTTACCTGATGAGAAAAGTTTCCACAAAAGAAAAGTAAAAGAAAGATAAACCTCGATCCCCCAAGAATAGCAAAGTGCAAAGAGCACTTATTGACAAGAAGTAAAAAGTATAACAAAACCAAAAACCGAAAAAAAGGAGGGAAAAACAAATAAAGGAAAACAATATGAAAGCAAAAGGAGAAGCATTGATCAGCAAGGGCTACGTGCGTGAGCTCCTAAGTAATTGAGACATTGTTGAATCAAAATGATCACATAGCGGTAATAGAATAAATATATTTTGTGAGATACTTTGGTAACTAATATACACAAATAAAACATTTCAATACACTATGAAATAATACAACCATGGCACTTAGGTATAGCTAAATCATAGTTTGATAAGATTAAGCACTGTTACAACATAAATTGGTCCAAAATTGTAAAAAGTTAAGAATAAACATAAAGTAAACCTTTGTTGTACTGAAGAGCATTTTGAATGTGAATAATCACAAAATAGATCGGCCCTTGGTTCATATATATTCACTTAAAGAAAGTTTGACACAAGAATACCTTCACATTCTACAGCTAGAAATCTAAAAAAGTTCACAAAAAAGAATTTCAATGAGTTAGCAGGGATCATAATATAAATATAATAATAATAACTTATACTAGTACTGAATTATATTTGAAAGACATTCAAGCGTAACACAGCGAACAATTTTGATATAATGCTTTGGTGATATACATACACACTACTCCAGAAGGCAATGAGGGATTTCTCTCTCAGTGCACAGCACAACTCTTCAAGAGGCAGTTGTGTTAAACACAAGTGCACAATTAATTTAACACAATTTAAAATGAACAACAACAAATTTATTAAGAATGTATAATTACCCTGTTGAATGTAATTTAAAATGCATGACTGGATGGGGAAAAAACAGAGAAAACAAACAAACAAGTAGCCTTTGAGACACAACCGCATTCACAAAACATCTTCAAGTCCAAAATAGATATGATGAAAAGTGAATCTATTTTATCTTGACTTACACTGTCAGTGAGCTCTCTTCTGAAATGAGAAAATGAACACGAACTCTCTATGACCAAACTAAAGTGACACAATCACACATTGAGTGTGAGGGTTTTCTTAAGTCCTATGTTGAAACATGGGGCCATTACCACTTGTTACAGTTGACATGCTAAGGCATCAGAGCATGTCAAACAACCTACTTGGACCCAATGTGTCACTCCAAAAATAAATAGGTAAGTCCTATATTACAACAACTTTTGTATCAAAAAATTAGAACCACAGATGAACCCAGGAAAATATACAAAAATGGGACCCATCCACTAACACACAACGAGCAACACTGGAATTTATGGAAAGGAGACAACTAATATTATTCCAACTTCCACTACCATTCATGAATTTGTGTATAAGTAGGGATGATGATGTCACTGATCTCTTCTTAACGCACAAAAAGAAACCAAACTCCAAACTTAACCAATGCATCAAGACATCAATTAAGACACCCCATAAAATCTTGGCTTCATAAAACATGTCAATACAACACCAAAAATACTTCATGCTCCATTTTAATTTCATATGTTAAAGCAATAAAATTTAAATAACCGCCACCACCACCACTGTTACACACGAAAAACGAGGTTGAAACTCAATGTAACTAAAGTATCCATTCTTGCACATCATTGGCCTTGTTATGAACAAGAGCTGTTAAAGTCTTTAAAGATACAAAAACAATTAAAATCATGTGTTTGCTTTTCTTTAAGACAAGACAAAACAAAACATTCAAAACCATTTTAATCTTTTGCAATGGAAATACTTAACAGAACTAATAAATATTCAACTATTTACAAACCACATAAACCTTAACTAATATCACAACAATATGAAGAGAAGAAAAATGGAATTGGGCGCAAGACACTGTGACCATTACAGGGGCATGGTCATAATAATATCAACACCAACTTAGGAATGCTGCCCTATTTTACAGAAGCACAAAAGCCAACAACAATCATTGAAATGTATAAGGGGGAGTCCACATATTACATAGCACCTCCTGTCCCTCTTGACAGTCCATAAGGAACACCACAAGCGCAGATCTACAAAAATAACTTAGGTAATATGTGGGTGATCCCTAATGGTCCTCCTATCAACATGGAAAATTTTCGTCTAAATTATTATTTCATGCCATGATCTAACAACCAGTAAAGCTAAAACTTGTCAATACACACTCAGGCAATTTTTATCAGCTTCTATGATATAACAACAAAAGCATTAACAGTATGAGTACATGGATCATAAAAGTGTTACAATAAAATTAACAGAAGTAAAAACCTGTAAAGTTACTGCCAAAGGACACTTGTAATACATTTGAAGAAGTACAAGAACAAGTGTATCAGAGTGCCAATAGTAGTGGCAGCAGCAGCAGCAGGACACTAATACAAACATCAAAAGCTTGGCATAAACTAAGTCCCCTGAAATCTGGTCTCAAATTCATAACGATAAAAAAGGATGAGAGATTTCTAGTTAAGAGCTCCTTTCTAGGTCAGCCAGACCACTGCTTAGAAAAAGACAACAACAATAATGCATGAGAGGAGGGGAATGGTGTACATTGGGGGGGACTTCAGACATTAGTGCTATGAGACCGAAACAATGAAGGGTTCTCTGGCATGGCCCATATCTAAAACGCAAAAGATACACATCAAAAATATAATTGTAATAAATGCTAAAAAAATTAAAATATTTCAATTACTTTTTGGATAAATGTTGTTGCACTTGTAACCTCTAGGGAATTGCAAAGGAGATTCATTGTAGCCATAAGAATTTAAAGAACTGATTGTGGTCATATTGAAAATGTGGTGAAAAAACAAAAGTTTATGGTACTGGCACTCCCACTAAGAGAAATATCAACCTAACCTCATTAAACTTGTCCTCCAGGTGTTCATTAACATTCAAATGCCAAGAAACAACAAAACTGAGACAACATGAAAGAGGGTGCCCGACCACCCTAGTAGTGGTTTACACAGCATGGTCCCCAAATATCGAGAACAGCCCTGAGGTTCCTACTTCTTTTTCCACAACCCTTTACTGAAATGCATTTCAGGGATGTCAAGAGAAGAGACAGGCTTAATGAGAACACGGAATATAGCAAATGCTAACAAACCAATATGAGCATTAAACTAATGAAACGTAAATGATAACATCATTGACATCGGTTACTGAAAAACCATCAGATGAAGTATTTCGCTCAGGATAAAAAATAAGAAGGAAAGACAATAGGGAAGTTTTCCTTAGCTTTGAAAATTTCAAAAAAATATTTTAAATTAGATTTCTGGAATATTTTGAATGAAATGACTTAAACACTAATTGAATTTGAATATAAATGAAACAAGATGAACAGGATTAGGTGGATCATTTGATTTGATTATTGCCTTCGTAGAAGGACACATGTACCTTTCACAATATACAGTAATAAACCAGTATCAAAATTAACTCGAATTCAACGTCATATTGAATGCTGGCTAATTGGCGTCTTCATATTACTACGTATGTCCAAACTGGATCTAAGTGAGTACACAAAAGGAAAGGAAAATGAGTGGAACGCATTACAACTACATACCCGTAAAATGTGGGAGAGAGTTGGTGATGGAAGCCACAACAGTACTCAGCAGTTTTAAATACAAGTTGAATGACCAACCCATTCTTAGTACAAGGAAAGAGAGTAAACTTCGAACCAGTTTCAAAAATACCAGAACTGGACATGAGAATAAGAAGCAAAATTCAAAGGAACATATTTAGATAAACAGATTTTGAAAAGCCTAAAATCTCTTGGTATGCTATGAAGGAGAAGATTCCTGAAAAATAAAACCGACCACAAAATCAGAAAAAGAGTAAGAACATGAAGGAGGACATAGTTAAAGTGAGGGTTAGCTGCAGTAAATGCCTTAATTTTATGTGTGCAGAAGCCAATGAAAAACGAATTTTCTAAGCCACTTTTCTGGTGAAATAATCAGCTGCACACCTTTAAATTGAAATTTCTGAATAGCAACACGAGATGCTGCAAAAGGCACAAGTTATGGTATTGATAGCTGCTGAAAATTACTTATATTGTCAGTTAAAGTAAAGAATATTATTAACTAAAAATGACTACAGTACAACCATGCAAAATCAACAAGACAAGATAAAATCAGAGAGAAAAAACAAAAAAGGGAAACAGGCAAAGCAATATGTTACTTCTTGGAAAATAAATAAATTTTTTTGCCTTAGTAAAGATATGCAGCTTGATGGTTTAATCTAAGACAACCAACTTGTAGCAAAAAATTAATGTAATAGTTTTTAGATATCAGCTTATTTTGTTTGGCTTTAAGAATTTCCTATACTATCTGCACATATCTAGAGCACACAAAGAATTTGTTTTCTAATCTAAGAACACTTCAAACAGAACTATGCGGCTCCCATGCTTTCAAGAATTAATGAAGGCAGATACAAGCATCTGGACAGTTTGCTGATCATTGAACAGACAGGTAACAGTAAAATTCACAGAATCCTTTTCTTTGCAAAATTGCAATCGAAAAAAGAGTACAGCCAGACTCACAATTTATGGAACCTGGAACATTATGTGCTGAATTTCTTCATTCAATTAGATTTTAAAACGATCTTCACAGCTTGTGCTTCCAGCAAATAAAACTTAAAGCTTGCATCCAGATAACAAAACCATGCCGGGCTTCACATAAAACATGAAATGTTGCAAGCTATTGTAATTACTTTGCTTGGAGTCATGAAATAATTTTAAAATTAACAAGTAAAATCATTTAACAGTTGTAGATTTAACCTACATGACAATAACAATAACTTAACCTTCAGACTGCTGCTGAACATGCACAATACGTAAGCCAGTGCAAACTACTACATGCAAAATAAGAAAGAACTAAAGCAAGGCCAAACTAAAAAAAACAACATAATTTTATGTTTAAGTATAGAGCATGCACAAAAATAAACACTAAAATCCATTTCACATGAAAAAGTGGAAACAAGACTAATTAGTTGTTTTCTTTACAGGCAAATATGTGGTGGATTGACTTACCAGGCTGGTTTGAGGTGCTAAGGTATGTTTGCTCATGACAATAGTAGTCGTTTTCAGACTTTCAGCAGACTTCGGTCCTCCAGGAGATTTAGGAACCAGTAATTCAGTGGGACTTGATGGCTTAACTAACATTTCAGCAGCTCTGACTACATCGAGAACCTGAGAAGAAAAGAAAAGGACATGAGATTAACACATTAAGATTCAACAGAGAATATTTAAAAACAAAAACAAACGAAGTATCACTGGGAGTGGCCATACTCTTTCTGGGGTTGATTTCTCCCTGTGAGGTTCTAGTTGCATATCATTTTGAGCAAGCTGTAAGGCAACTTGCTGTTCCCGTTCCCGTTCTAATTCTCTTTCTCTTAGCTCTCGTTCCCGTTCTTCTTGCTCTTGTTCCCATTGGACAAGTTCTTGCCGCATTTGCTGCTCCTGTAAAAATTTTAACAATTTTTCATAGAAGGAACAGAATGTGTACCCAATGTACAATTGCAAACAAAAGTCAATGGACTAACCTGTTTGAGTGTTGCAGAATCTTCGTCTTCCCTGTCGAGACTTGAGACACTTTGAGATATGGATTTGGACATCTCTTTGGTTATTTTGCCCTCAGATATTAATCTTTCAACTTCAGCCCTGTCATATCCTGTGGATAAAATAATGGTCAGTCGGAAGTTTACATTAAAGGAAGCACCAGAGCACTTGACAAAATACCTTTACAAACTACAAGTCGAATAGTGTTGCCTGCACAACGTAGTGCATTCACTGCTTCTTGGTGAGAAGCTCCCAATAAAGATGCATTGTTGACTTCTAATAACCTCATTCCCACCTTAAAACAAAAACACGCAAAATAAATAATACATTCATAACACAGTTACCCATAACCAATAGAACAGAGACAGAGCAATCCCCGTTTCTTTTGAGGCATACCTTTAATCTGCCATCTCTTTTAGCAGCCCCACCAGAGTTAATTTTTGATATGAAAACACCTTCATCGGTTTTGTCAAGAGGGTTCCCTCTGTGGCCTCTGAGACCTCCTTTGATATGCATTCCAAGTTTCTCACCATCTTGCTTAACAATGGTCAACTCCTTTAGGAAAGAAAACAAGCAAAAATGTGAGATAAGGACAAAAAGTAGAGAAATACCAAATGAAAACAAAGGAGAAATGGCTGTAACATAATATTTTACATGCATTAATGTACAAAACAGCACGAACATTTAAAGAATATACAATACATAAATCTAATTGTTGCAAGGGCATCAATGTAATGTATTGCAATACACATCTGAAGTCTCAAATGGTTTTCAATAAATATAAGATAATATTATAAAGTTTATGAATGTATGAATTTCACATATTGTGTTAGAAACCTTAGCACATTCATTCTTGATAAGGACAGTAAAATAGTCTAAGGAACTGTACATGCACAATCATAAAAATTCTCTAATTCCAGAGTGATACTTCATGCTTCATGGAAACACTAGAAAAATGGCTTTGATATAAAAAATGAGATAAGCCAGTGACAACATAGAGAATAAAATCTTGATACTCGTCACAACTCACCATAGAAGGCACATATTCTATGTTTGACAGCTTGCAAAAGAAATACCCAAATGACAGTTAACAAATCTACCCACAGTTGTATTTCACTAGGCAAGTTCGAGATTAGTTGAGCAAAAGTCTTTTACGACAAAAAGAGGAAGGTGTGTGTGCCTCACTTAAATAACGTCTAACATAGGAATCTCTTAAAATTTAAAAGTTGAAAACCAAAGGAAAGAAAACACACCTGGAAACCATCAGGAACCGGATCATGTTGAACAAGAAGTGTTATGGAATTCCCAGGCTGTAGGAGAGTCAAGACTGCTTCCTGGTGAGTACATTTTGTTACATCTTCACCAGAGACCTCAAGAATTCTGTCACCCATGCGTAGAGCACCAGATTGTGCTGCAATACCCTCAGGTACAATCTGCAAAGTAAATTCAAATATTTTTCAAGATTAAACTGAAACACAATTCCTTTTTTTTTCACTCATGAACACTTTAGTGATTGATTGATTTACTATAATAATACGGTAATGATAATAATTACATGTGAGATAAAGATGCCTGGCTTTCCCCCTCCAAAAGGGACACAAGAATGATCAGTTCCACCTATGATACTGAATCCAAGAGATCCTCCATCTTTCACTAATGTCACCTCCTGAAACATTAGAAACACCAGAGAAATGAAGCAAAGAATGTACAAATCATTACAAACAACTAAGCTGAAATCAGAACCCTCAAGTTGGAAATAAAATGTTGTATCAGGTATTGCTAGTCATTCAAAATCCAATTTTAAGAAGAATATTAAGCAGGCGGCAGGTCAGAAGTAGGTGCACTTAAAGATTGCAAAGGTGAAGACATTAACAAAACACAAGTGTAAAAATATACCTTTCATGCGCAACCTACAATCTACAGACAAAAACAATAGGAATGTACAGTTGACAAAAATTATAGGACTAATCATGCACACATCTATTTTGTCATGAAATGAATGAAATAAAGACACCGGGATTCAGTAAAAAGTATTTGAAAGAAGATCGTAGTACCATTGATAGATAGAAAATAATAAATCCATGAACTAAGTCAGTCCAAAGCTATAACAAGACTGGGTTTCAACTGAAAAATGAGGTTTCGATTAAGTGTTGGAAAGGGGAAAAAATCTACAGATGTCTTCCACCATAACACCACCAACAACAAAAACAGGCATTTCTTAAAAGTTACAACTTTAAAAAAAAAAGTTTTACAGTGTAAGGGATTGAAGAGAAAACAAGGTACAAAAACATTTGACTGCAGAATCGAACAAGGTTTGTCTCTTTTGTTGTAGGTCTGAATAAAACTCATCTGATCCATTAAAGCATAATTTAGAAAGAAAAAGATAAAAAATAAAAGAAAGCAAAGGCAAAATAAAAGCTTGATATTAAGGCATAAGCCTTGTCCAGAGCTATCAGTTTCAAGATCACAACTTACAGGGTATTGAGCATCTGCATTTGCAGAAATAGCAAGAACACCAAAGCCATGCAAGCAGACTAAGCAGTATATCAAATAATACTTGACAGAGTTTCACTTAAGCAACAAATCAAAACAGAATGCCAAAACATAAGACAGACAGGGATGCCACAAATCTTCAACAACTGGATAAGTTAGGACCTCTTTCATGTAGTTTTAAAGCAAAAGGGGGCAGAAAGTACCTATTTAATTCAATATAAAAAGACTAGAAGCAATTTCAAACAAGTACAGTGGGTCCCGCCTATAACGTTGCGGCCGGCTTGCACGGTTAAACAACGTTATAAACGGGAAACGATATAAACGGTAGAAGGATGAACGTGATTTTTGACTCAGGAATTAAGTTTTGCAACGTTATATGCGGGTAACGTTATGAGCGGGACCCACTGTATTCAAAATGCAACTGCAATTTCACTTTAATGTGAACAAAAGAAGAAAATAAATAATAGAGAAGATATGCGGCTCCTCATAGGTGGTTAGTCAGATTTCAGGAATGAAACAGAGGAAACGATAATGGGATGAAGTACAGGAAAGAGGGCGGAAGGAGAGAAAAAAAAAAGGGCAATATGCATGGAATTCTGAAGGAGTTGTCCATTAAACAGAATGAGTACTTGCCTCGGCAGAAGATGCTCAGTTTATTTAAAAGGAAAGAAAATTGACAGAGTATGAAAATAAGGAATAGTGAGGCTGATGCATACCACAATACCCTAAGATAAATTAAAGTAGTACTATACAACCAATTGCATTAATCAATCGACCTCCACACATAAACTATGTCATCCCCTGTGAAATGAAGATTTAGAAGCCTAATTTGGTAAGAGAACTAGAGAGTGAACAGGTGCAGCAAAAGGCACCAGCTATGAACAGTCACTTGACAGTGAGCACCCAAGCGGTACTTGACTAGAGAAGAAAATTACCTTCCATGAATCAGCCTCACCACATTGAATTTAAGTATTTACCTCCTTAGGGGCTGGGGTGACGAGCTTGTTATCTGTGACGCGAGTCACCACAGTTTCAGTGAAGGTACTTTTGGTGATGACCTCGGTGACTTTGCCTAGAGTGGTGGGGGGCGGGGGAAACTGAAGGCTCATGTCAGAAGGTTGTTTGATGGTGACGGTGACTGTGGGGCCACTAGGCGCCTCCTCCTCACCACGGAAGCGAGCTGGGATCATGGCCTGGAACTCTTCGCTTGTGATCGCTTTGGGGAGCTGCGGTAAAGTTAAAAGCTTAGGACAAGCAACCTTTGACCCGAATTATTCAAAGGGAAACGTGTGGTGGGTGGTTACAAATATTGAGGACAATTGAGAGGCAAGTTATTAAATTTACATACAGGAAAACAAATTATAAAAAATATCTCAAACAACAAAAATAAAATGGATGGTGGAGTGCGGCTCAACATATGTTCAACAAAAATAAAAAGATTCCACTTTAAATCCATCTACGATTAAGAAATAGCTATTCATAAAACATCCCTGCAAGAAGGAAATGACTTCTTAGTGTGAATAAGAAAACATGAGAAAAATAAAGGGAAAACATGAAAATATTCATAACTGAAACTCTCATGAAGAGATCAGACCCAAAACCCAGAGTGATTAAATTTGAAGGAGGTTCAATACAAACAGAAGCAAAGATGATATTTTCAAAGAGAGAACACCACTATGTTGAATAACATGAAAAATAAGCGAGCAAAATCGCCATGAGCTGAGTATGGCAGCACTAGTAGTTCCTATGAAACTCAGCAATTCTAATCATGACATCAAAGCTGCATGATAGGTCTAAAATTAATAATACAGCAAAATCATAATTTAAAAAAATTTACTCTAAAAATTTTTGCTTGAAAGGGTAAAAAATACAAAGGACACACAGATGTTAAATTTAGCTACCAGTAAAAAGAATTGGAATAAAATACAAACAAATTACACTACTTCACGCTGCACACAAACTCATGTCAACAAGCTGCTGCAGCGAACACCATTCCCCATTCCATGCACACACATTGTTGCAAATCGCACAGCAGGAAAATGGTTAACTCATCAAAAATATTAAGAGTTTCCTGAAACATAAGTTTCCAAATTTATCATCTTATGACCTGGACACTGACTTTACGTAAGTTCAGAGGAGTTACTGGAGCTGTTTGAGACTCAGGTCTTCAATTATATGATAGAATAATTGACTTGTGGGCTTGTCGCTCTCCCTGCTTGCGATGTGCAAACACCCTTGATGTACATTAGTCTCACCTGCGGGGATTCTCCTGAAGTTGAGTTACTGCTAGTAAGCCGAGTTCGTGGAGCGGGTCGAGGAGGCTCCACTCCATTCACTTTTGGAGTTGCAACTGAATTATTTTCAGTCACTGAATTAAGTGGCACTGGTGAGTTAACTACTGACGTTGGCGTTACATGGGGAGGGGTGGGTGTGGTGGGAGTTGGGGCAGGTGATGATGGTAAACCAAATTTAACCGATGAATTTACATCTGGTGAAGATATAGTGGACATATATCCAGGGCTACCTGGGGATGCTCTTCTGAAATTTTAAAAACAGCATTGTGAGAACATAGGCCAAAGTGGGAAGGCAAATTAAAGTTCTGAATCCAAGAAATAAAATAATACCTGAAACCTGGCCTATTAGCCATGTAACTGTTGGCATTATAAAGACCAGTGTATGGTTTGGGTGCACCAAACACATGAGGACTTTTTTCAGCTGGTGAAGGCGATGGGCTCTGGCCTTTACCGACTAGAACTTCACGCTCAGCAACAAGTCGAACAAACCTATCCAAGCCTGTTAGCATGGCTACAGCTTGATCATGTCTGGCTCCACTTAAGTCCACACCATTAATTGATATAATACGGTCTCCAACCAAGAGCTTGCCATCTTTTTCAGCAACTCCACCTTCAGTAATCCTTGAAATATATATTGACTGCAAAAATAGTAATTATAATATTAATGGAAATTTAATAAATAACAACTTTATCCATAAAGTTTAAGTTTCATCTAATTTTTCATGAAACTGTACTCACATCTGGATTTCCATCAGACCGAAATGGAGGGCAACCCTTCCCTCCTGCAATACTGAATCCAAGACCATTAGAATCTCTTATAAGCGTTGTATACACCACTACTTTTCGCACTTCTGTATCAGATCCCACCCCTTTAAGTGGCTCTGGGATACGCTTAACCTGAAAAATGTAATAAATTTTAAGACAAAACAGACATTAGCAATTTGATGTTGTGTAACTGATTGATAGTTTAGTACCTTATTGTACACTTCTGCATACAATTCATCTCCTTGTCCATTTTCCAGCGCTCTGACTTTTTCTAAACCAGCTACATTTCCTGTACTTTCAAAGCCAGATGTGAGAATTGATTGATGAGAGGTAGCACTAGTGGCCCGGCTAGTGCCAAGACTTGAGCAGGCAGAATCACCAGGACGGAATATAGGTGTGGAAGCAGGTGATGAGGACGCTGTTCCATGAGTCTGAGGTAGAGATAAAATTATATCAATGAAGCACAATTTACATGGTTTAAAAATTTAATTGAAAAGATACGATAAAAAAAGACAGATGATAATTTGAAAGAAGTACCTTTGCTACTATTCGAGTAACTTCACGAGCCACAAACAGGTCCAATGTTCCTCCAGCAGCTTTTAAGGCTTCAACTGCTGTCCAGTGGTCTGTTCCAACAAGTGATTTTCCATTCACTGTTAAAACCTTGTCACCCACCTGAACAAAACACATACAAAAAAAGGGTCAAATTGTAAAGAAACATTTCCCTTGCAGCAGTGACAAATTCACATTACCAGAACAACAATCTTACCCGAAGTCCAGCCAAGTCTGCGGGTCCACCTTCAGTAACCCTTGAAATAAATATCCCTTCATCATCACCTTTGAACGGTGTTGATCCAAGACCACCAGCAATTGATAGGCCAAGACCAGCAGATGTCCTCTCAATATGTATGTTATACCGCTCTTCTCTCAATTCCACTGACTGTACCACATCTGCAATGAGTAAAAAATTAGAAAAGTGACAAAACACACATCTTCAGCACAAACGAAAACGGGCAGTACATCTAACTTACACCTCTTAGGAAAATTAACCCTTTTGACGCCTTTCATCTTTAATTTATGAAGAATACATATAGAATTGCAATGGTCTAACTCATACTATTTCCTAACCTCTATTACAATCTTAGAAGAGCATATAGACAGGGGAAGTACAAAAACCATATGGTTGTACAAACGCAGGGTATAAGCAAGAACCCAAATTATAAATTTCCAAGATACAAAGAAAATTTTTATCAAAATATGTCATGAGAGGAAGAAAAAAGACCATACGCACTGGTACAGAAAAGGAACTTTTTTGATACTACTCTTATCAGTGGAGTGAGATACCAGAAGGTACCACAGTGGAGGGGGTATGGGGAGATAGAGACATAGATAGCAATACAAGCCAACCCCACTAATCATGAATGTGCAAACACTTCCAGCTTGTGCCTGAAACTCACCTGATGGATTTGTGTACATTGGATAGTTGCCTGCATCCACACTCTCTGTATCGTTCTTCTTTGTTAAAGCCTGTAAAAAGCATAGTAAATTAAAAATGAGGGATAAATTCACTCCACACATTTAAGATGACTTTACAACAGATTAAAGTAGGACGATTGTAATAAACACATAACATGCACTGTAAATAAAACTTATAACAGAACTACATTAAAAGCCTCCAAAAGAAAACACCATTTAAAAATTTAATATCTTAAAATTAGTACAGAAAATGGAACAAAATTTCAATTATGTGAGTACCAATGCCCAAAGTTGTACATGTTAATTCCTAAAATGCACTACATCAAAATGAAACTTGGGATTGAGAAGAATAAATGATTGCTTATAAAACCACAACCAGCATGCTTTCAAAGGAGAACTATCTGCAATTAACAAAAGTGTTCTGCACATCTTTAAAAAAGTAAACTTGTACAAGAAGTTCAATCACATTTATACTATTTTCCAATAATACCAGAGACAATTAAGGACGCGATGGCTAGATACCTGAGCTATTATAGATGCAACCTTATCTTGATCAATAGTTTGTGAGTTGATTCGCTTGTTCTTGAGGTGATGTGGTGTGTCTCTGCGATGAAGACGATTTGGTCTTGACCCTTCGCCCTCCACCACTCCCTCAAACCCAACATGCTTCTCCCCATCCTGTGACAAAAGCCATGGACTAATGCACAAGACCCACAAGTAATAATATTTCAACATACAGGGTTAAGTTAGAGTTATTTGACATAATTTGGATTCTGACAGTAATTACAATCCTGAAGAACTCAAAGCTATTGCCAATAGAAACAATCATCATGCATCTTTTGGCCCAGTTAAATAGCAGCTTGTACCCATCAACCACCACAATTTCGTGCATAGTACCATTTGACACCATTTGTCAGTTAGTAAAAAAAAGTGGATTTGGTTCTTACCTGCTCAGATTCTGGCGCCTCATTTTCATCAATCAAATCCTTCTCAGTTTCCAGTTCTTCATGTTCAGGCTGGAAAATTAGTGAGATCATATTAATGTTTTGCAAAATTAAAATTAAAATATTGCAGAGGCAAGTTCTGATTTTTGTTTTGTTTAAAAAAAGATATCTAGAGAAGGAGTGGAGCGTGTGGTCGCTGCTAGAGCTAGCTGAGAACTGAGGCTGGAACAAACATGTGTTGGCCTTTAATTGCCTGATGAGGCTTAACACTGCGGATCTGCCCCATTAAGTGGGAGATCTCCACCTCTCCACCCACTGGACAGTGACCAATGACCTTCACCCACTGGCCTGCACTGACCCATGCCCTTCGCAGCACAAAAGACAAAGACACCTAGGAGAGGAGGAATGAAGCACTTACACCCAAGTTATTAACAGCGGCAGGGTCGGCTGATTGATTGCTATGGTCACTTACTGCTTCATCTTCTCTGACTTCCTCCTAAAGAGAGGAAGAGTTCGATAAAATTCTGAATACAACTAATGAGCAACTTTAAACAACATGATTAAACACAATACTTACTTTGTGAACTGGCACATCAGCAGCTTGCAGACCAACATCATCTACATCCTTTGAGTCTGGACTTTTACCTCCCTTTCCAAATAGTTTATGAGCCTTTGCTTTAAGTTCTCGTGGGTGAGGAGTGTTTTGTCGCACAAACGGTGTCTGTGTCAAAGCACACAGTTATAGGGCAATGTTGACAAGTTGATCAAATTATAACAAAACAATAATATTTGTACTCACTTCTTTATCTTGTTCATTTGTATTTAGATCGTCTGTGAACTTTACTGAATGAGTGCGTGATTCTTCACGTTCCTGCCAGCCTTCATCATCTGAATCATCAGTCTTCTGGATTTCTGAGAGTGACACGGAAGAGAAGCCCTCTCTATCATAAATGCTGCTCACTGTTATCACACATAAACAAAAAACAACATGCAAACAAAAGCCAGCCAAATAAAACTTAAGAAGCAAAAGAATAATGCATGTGTGAACAACAATTATATGATGCCACACATTACCATAAAATCATAATTCAGAAAAAAACAATTTCATTTGTGTACCAAATGAATAAAATTAACAGAATGTAAAACTGAGGTATTCTACTTTATTTGAAAAGTAAGGTATGAGACAAATGTTGTAAATGGTTTCATCACTTATCACAACATTAAAATGCAAATAAAAAAATAAAAAGCCACAGTGCATTGTTGCAAATACTAGCAAGTGTACCTTGATTGTGCTCTGGGTGATACTCCAACTGTGGGAGAAGGAAACAAGTAAGAACTTGTTCACCAGACTGCTCATCAGTGTCCGTCTGGAATTTTAAAAGAGGCTGGGCTTGGTTTTCAGACAACCAGACAGCTTTAAGATTTAAATTTGCCAATGACATTGGTAAATATTGTAACCTTTTGAAATAACAAGCAATACGAAAATAATTATTATGTGCACCATGATAAAAAGTACCAGATATTTCTTTAATGAAAATAAGATTAAATACCTATTTCCAGAAACATCTAAGACATGCAGAAGTTTGCAATTCCCCAATTGAGGAGGCATAAACTGCAGTTTGTTGTCCCTTAAGGAAAATACCCCCAAGTTCTCAAGATTTCCAATTTCTGGAGGTAAAGTGCGAAGACTATTTCGATCAACATTCAAATTTGTCATTTTAACTAAAAATCCAATTGATGAGGGCAATTCCATTAAAAAGTTTTCAGTTAATATTAGTTCTTGCAGGCTTACACATCTGATAAGAAAAGAAAAGAATGAGTTACTAGTTCAAGAAAAATGTACCTTGTATGTAACAAAATGCATGAAACACTCACTTTCCAATGTTCACATTGAGTGAAATGAGTCTATTTTGGTCTATCTTCAGAATAGTTAACTTTTCTAAAGCTCCTATTCCATCAGGTAGAGTTTCAATGTTATTCTGAGACAGGTGTAAATCAGTAAGTGAAATTAATCCAGAAATTTCATCTGGCAAATCTTCCAAACGGTTCTCTGACACATCCAAGCATGCCAGCTTCCTCAGATTGCCTATTTGCGAGGGAAGGTGTTGCAGTTCATTGTGATCCAGCCAAAGCTCTTGAAGAGCCGGGAGATTTCCAATGTGGTGTGGCTGATAATAAAGGAATGTCAAAATGTTAATCGAGGGAACATTTTAAATTGCTAGCTATGTACATGCAGGACCTTAAAAGCACTCACCAGTTCCCCGATTTTATTATCGCCCAGATCTAACCGCTCAAGCTTTAAGAGTTGAGATAGTGATTCAGGCAGAAATTCTAGAAGGTTTTCTCGTAGTTCTAGAGACTGAAGGCTGACAAGAGAACCAAAGTCAGAGGGCAGGGAGGTGAGGGACATGTCATTCAGTCCCAGCACGGTCAAGTTACGGAGCTGGACAAAGCCTGGGGGTAATCTAGGGATGGGGTTGCTGCTGAAGTCCGCCACCTGCAGTTCTTGCAAGTTCTTGATATTTTCGGGAATGTCGGGGATGTCTGCAACAGAAGAAGGGAAACAACTCTTCAATATTGAGATGTGAAGGCGAGGAGGACAAAAGTTGGATGGACAAGGAGACCGTGTAGTACAAGGCGAAGACAGCTCAATCCTACGCCGCAGGCCGGCGCAGCGGGCAGCCAACAGCGAATAGCGACCACGCTTGCTTTCTTTACTGGTGCTGGCCGTGCAGGCCGTGCTGGCCGTTCTGTCACGGACGGACAAACACGCCGACTCGCCGATCCCGATCACAAGCAAACACGAGCCGCAGCAGCCGGCTAGAGGCCCGGCTAGAGGCCCGGCCGACGCGAGCTGGTGGAGCTGGCGCACCGAATCAGGGCGGCCAGACCGAAATGGATAACCCAGTCATTCATTCATTTTAAGCACCCGCGGCCGTAATAGACTGTACTAGCACTACCCCCACCCCTCTTTTTCTGGTCCGGTCCGGGCAGGGCTCCGGGAATGACAACATCGAGATCTATCTTCACCCGGAGCTGGCTAACCTAACCTTCCCCCTCCTCCGCGGCCCGGGCAGCATAAGCGGGCCAAACCTGGGCATCCCTCGACAGTTTGACCCACACCGCCCGGTTCCCGCGCCGCGCCCAAGCGCCGCGACGACGCGCGAGTCGAGGTGAACGGCCGGCCGGGCCGCGGACGGGCTGTAGACCCGCCGCTCCCCGCCTGGCCGGTGCGTTGGCTGGCGTTGGCCGGCGTTGGCGCAGCTGCCCAGAGCCCCGACCCGACAAGTCTGCAGCCAAGCCGCCTCTCTCGCCGGCGTGCCAAGGCAGGCAAGGCAGGCAAGGCAAGGGCCCAAGGGCCGAACAGCCGAGCCGAGGGCCGGCACCGCCGCCACGCCGCGGACGGCTGCCGGCTTCGCTGGCTTCACTCGCCCCGCCGGGGAAGGGAAGGGAAGGGCCAGTAGTGACCATTACAGCGAGCAGCGCGACGCCGCCTAGGCCCAACTCTTGCCCCTCCCCCTCCCAAACCGGTCCGGTGCAATGGCAGCACTTGGCACTGCACTCGCTCGCTACGAGTGCCTCGAGTGCCTCGCACCTTGGCCTTAGCACACCCACGCGGACCACGCGGACCGCATTCCATTGCCGCCGTGCCGGCGCGGTTCCCGGCTGCCTGGCCTGCCTCCGCCGCCCCGCCGCCCCGCCTCGCGGTTCGTTCCGATTTGCGTCAAACGCAGCGGCCCAGCGCAGCGAGCTGTCATGGCGCGGGCCGTACCGCCGAACCCGGCCGAACCGCCCCGCTTACCTTTCCGGTCCGCCGATTCGGTCCAGTCAGTCCATGCGGCAATGCTGCCGCCCCCTCGCCCGCAGGCCTGCCTTGCCGCAGGCCGCAAGCCTGGCTGCCTCGGCCCGGCAGGCCCGGCAGGCCCAGCAGGGGCCCCGCGGGGAGGGCGGGGCGCCGTCGCCAAGCCGCCCCTCTCCACTCCAGCCGCCCCCCGCGGCCAGTAGACTCATTTCGCACAGTGCGGCCGTCGGTCTGTCTCTCTCGCACCGGTACAGATCACCCCGTGAGTGCGAGAGAGAGAGACCTCCCGGGTCAACAAGGCGCTTGCCTCGGCACTTCCGACGCCTGGCTGCACCCCGGCCGGCCAGGGCAGCGCCAGGCAGCGCGTAGTACTTTGAGAGGCCCAGCGGGGGGTCCGGGTCGAGTCGCCGCGAGTCCACCACTCAAGTCCATCGCGGCGGTCATCGCATCATCGTCCACCAAAGGAGCCGCCCCGCCGCGCCGTGAATGGGCTCACGCTCACGCTCGCAGCGAGCACGCGGGAACAGCGCCCCGCCGCGCCGTGAATGGGCTCACGCTCACGCTCGCAGCGAGCACGCGGGAACAGCGCCACGCCGCGCCGTGAATGGGCTCACGCTCACGCTCGCAGCGAGCACGCGGGAACAGCGCCCCGCCGCGCCGTGAATGGGCTCACGCTCACGCTCGCAGCGAGCACGCGGGAACAGCGCCCCGCCGCGCCGTGAATGGGCTCACGCTCACGCTCGCAGCGAGCACGCGGGAACAGCGCCCCGCCGCGCCGTGAATGGGCTCACGCTCACGCTCGCAGCGAGCACGCGGGAACAGCGCCCCGCCGCGCCGTGAATGGGCTCACGCTCACGCTCGCAGCGAGCACGCGGGAACAGCGCCCCGCCGCGCCGTGAATGGGCTCACGCTCACGCTCGCAGCGAGCACGCGGGAACAGCGCCACGCCGCGCCGTGAATGGGCTCACGCTCACGCTCGCAGCGAGCACGCGGGAACAGCGCCCCGCCGCGCCGTGAATGGGCTCACGCTCACGCTCGCAGCGAGCACGCGGGAACAGCGCCCCGCCGCGCCGTGAATGGGCTCACGCTCACGCTCGCAGCGAGCACGCGGGAACAGCGCCCCGCCGCGCCGTGAATGGGCTCACGCTCACGCTCGCAGCGAGCACGCGGGAACAGCGCCACGCCGCGCCGTGAATGGGCTCACGCTCACGCTCGCAGCGAGCACGCGGGAACAGCGCCCCGCCGCGCCGTGAATGGGCTCACGCTCACGCTCGCAGCGAGCACGCGGGAACAGCGCCACGCCGCGCCGTGAATGGGCTCACGCTCACGCTCGCAGCGAGCACGCGGGAACAGCGCCCCGCCGCGCCGTGAATGGGCTCACGCTCACGCTCGCAGCGAGCACGCGGGAACAGCGCCCCGCCGCGCCGTGAATGGGCTCACGCTCACGCTCGCAGCGAGCACGCGGGAACAGCGCCCCGCCGCGCCGTGAATGGGCTCACGCTCACGCTCGCAGCGAGCACGCGGAAACAGCGCCCCGCCGCGCCGTGAATGGGCTCACGCTCACGCTCGCAGCGAGCACGCGGGAACAGCGCCCCGCCGCGCCGTGAATGGGCTCACGCTCACGCTCGCAGCGAGCACGCGGGAACAGCGCCCCGCCGCGCCGTGAATGGGCTCACGCTCACGCTCGCAGCGAGCACGCGGGAACAGCGCCCCGCCGCGCCGTGAATGGGCTCACGCTCACGCTCGCAGCGAGCACGCGGGAACAGCGCCACGCCGCGCCGTGAATGGGCTCACGCTCACGCTCGCAGCGAGCACGCGGGAACAGCGCCCCGCCGCGCCGTGAATGGGCTCACGCTCACGCTCGCAGCGAGCACGCGGGAACAGCGCCCCGCCGCGCCGTGAATGGGCTCACGCTCACGCTCGCAGCGAGCACGCGGGAACAGCGCCCCGCCGCGCCGTGAATGGGCTCACGCTCACGCTCGCAGCGAGCACGCGGGAACAGCGCCCCGCCGCGCCGTGAATGGGCTCACGCTCACGCTCGCAGCGAGCACGCGGGAACAGCGCCCCGCCGCGCCGTGAATGGGCTCACGCTCACGCTCGCAGCGAGCACGCGGGAACAGCGCCCCGCCGCGCCGTGAATGGGCTCACGCTCACGCTCGCAGCGAGCACGCGGGAACAGCGCCCCGCCGCGCCGTGAATGGGCTCACGCTCACGCTCGCAGCGAGCACGCGGGAACAGCGCCCCGCCGCGCCGTGAATGGGCTCACGCTCACGCTCGCAGCGAGCACGCGGGAACAGCGCCCCGCCGCGCCGTGAATGGGCTCACGCTCGCAGCGAGCACGCGGGAACAGCGCCCCGCCGCGCCGTGAATGGGCTCACGCTCACGCTCGCAGCGAGCACGCGGGAACAGCGCCACGCCGCGCCGTGAATGGGCTCACGCTCACGCTCGCAGCGAGCACGCGGGAACAGCGCCCCGCCGCGCCGTGAATGGGCTCACGCTCACGCTCGCAGCGAGCACGCGGGAACAGCGCCCCGCCGCGCCGTGAATGGGCTCACGCTCACGCTCGCAGCGAGCACGCGGGAACAGCGCCACGCCGCGCCGTGAATGGGCTCACGCTCACGCTCGCAGCGAGCACGCGGGAACAGCGCCACGCCGCGCCGTGAATGGGCTCACGCTCACGCTCGCAGCGAGCACGCGGGAACAGCGCCCCGCCGCGCCGTGAATGGGCTCACGCTCACGCTCGCAGCGAGCACGCGGGAACAGCGCCACGCCGCGCCGTGAATGGGCTCACGCTCACGCTCGCAGCGAGCACGCGGGAACAGCGCCCCGCCGCGCCGTGAATGGGCTCACGCTCACGCTCGCAGCGAGCACGCGGGAACAGCGCCCCGCCGCGCCGTGAATGGGCTCACGCTCACGCTCGCAGCGAGCACGCGGGAACAGCGCCACGCCGCGCCGTGAATGGGCTCACGCTCACGCTCGCAGCGAGCACGCGGGAACAGCGCCCCGCCGCGCCGTGAATGGGCTCACGCTCACGCTCGCAGCGAGCACGCGGGAACAGCGCCACGCCGCGCCGTGAATGGGCTCACGCTCACGCTCGCAGCGAGCACGCGGGAACAGCGCCACGCCGCGCCGTGAATGGGCTCACGCTCACGCTCGCAGCGAGCACGCGGGAACAGCGCCCCGCCGCGCCGTGAATGGGCTCACGCTCACGCTCGCAGCGAGCACGCGGGAACAGCGCCCCGCCGCGCCGTGAATGGGCTCACGCTCACGCTCGCAGCGAGCACGCGGGAACAGCGCCCCGCCGCGCCGTGAATGGGCTCACGCTCACGCTCGCAGCGAGCACGCGGGAACAGCGCCCCGCCGCGCCGTGAATGGGCTCACGCTCACGCTCGCAGCGAGCACGCGGGAACAGCGCCCCGCCGCGCCGTGAATGGGCTCACGCTCACGCTCGCAGCGAGCACGCGGGAACAGCGCCACGCCGCGCCGTGAATGGGCTCACGCTCACGCTCGCAGCGAGCACGCGGGAACAGCGCCCCGCCGCGCCGTGAATGGGCTCACGCTCACGCTCGCAGCGAGCACGCGGGAACAGCGCCCCGCCGCGCCGTGAATGGGCTCACGCTCACGCTCGCAGCGAGCACGCGGGAACAGCGCCCCGCCGCGCCGTGAATGGGCTCACGCTCACGCTCGCAGCGAGCACGCGGGAACAGCGCCCCGCCGCGCCGTGAATGGGCTCACGCTCACG